TGGATAAAAGAAACTACATTTGTGTTACAGCAACAGCGTGATGCTGTTGCCACTTTAACACCAAGGGTTAACTTCTATGAATTTACTCAGGAGAGAAACAAATAGAGGCAGTTTAAGTTAGGGTGCTCCCGATAAACAAAACACCCAGAATTACCTCCAAATTCCTTCGTTAGTATCTTCTGAGTCTGTGAAGATGTGCACAGAATATTATTTCAAAACTCTTACTACCTCCTCACTAATGTCTTTAGAACAGCAATCATCTAAATTCAGACCCTTTCAGAAAGCATCAAAGAAGGTACAATCCTCAATGTTAAGGCAACTCTTAGTGGTTCTTCATCTTGAAGGAACGGAAACCAAGGCTGAGCATCATGATCTCAGAGTGTACAGTCTCTGAGAGGTATCAGCATTACTACTGAACTGTGCAAACAGCCTGGATAGACAACAGAAGTAACAAATAAAGCCCTCCCCCCCAAAGCAGCTTAAAATAATACAACACTGTAGATTCCTCTCTCCCCATCGATAATCATTATGATTATTTCAACAAAGAGAAATGTCACCTTTTTGAAACTCTCTGCCCATCAGGAAGAAGTGTTTTGTCTATTGAACAGATTCTTACAAACACACAGCATCTACAGCATTTCTTACTCTGCACTCACAAAACTCTGATTGGTCTCAACTCATTGTTATTTAAAAACAAAAGGTGTCAAAGCCAAGTGTTGTACCTCTTCTTTAAGGACGAATTGTCTAGCAGCTTTTCGAACTTCTGTGGACTTCTCAGCTGCCATTTTCAGGAATGTCAGGTTCTTCCCTCCTGATCAAAGTCCAGGTTACTATGAAACAAAGTCAATATTTGCTTTCAGAGAAAAGTTAAAAGGTTCTGCATTCTAAATTAACAAATAAAACTTGCTGGAGAAAGTTAGGGATGTGTGATGACAAGTCAGTTCAGTTTCCAGGTCCACCTGATGGTTTCAGAGTCAAATAAATCGAAGCAGAAGTAGAAGTTTGGGTCAGATCCCTGACTTACATAGTTGTGACAGTCCAATCAGCTGCCAATCAGCTATGCTGGCTGAAGACACCCTGCTTAACTATTCAAAGGTCAGACACACACAGAAGCAAAATTGATCCATCCTGATGGAAACAAATTGTTTCATCCTGATGTGGTTGAAGTGCTCTGTCAACACAGCATTGCCACAACAAGCCTACGCACTCTACTGTCAAAGTTGGAAAAAACCTTATACCCAGATTTTGGTGGTATTGAGAAAGATTCAAGACTAGAGCCTACCTCCACCTTCCATGCATCACAAACACATAAATGACTCAATCCTTCCCCAAAAAACAAGGTCAAAAAGTCACCTCTGTTGCAAGCCTAGGAGGCACATGGAGTTAGTGTGACCACAGCACGTCAGTCGTGCTTACTGGGAACGACGTGGCTAACACCGTGCAAAAGGCAACTGACCACGTGCGCAAGCAATGCTCTGCACCTGCAGCTCTGTTCCTCAGCCTGCATCTTAACGCTCTGCAGGCAGATGGTCCACTCCTTCTCTCAATCCAGTTGTAGTTGAAAGCCACACCAGTAAGCAATAAAATATATGCATTAGAGATTCACCATTAGCCCCTGTCTCACTGCAGAGCTATGGGGCACTTTCAGCACAGAAGCTCTTATTCCAAGGAAGCTAAACTCTGACATGAAGTTATAATACTGAAGTCCTGAAAATAGCATGAATCGTAAGTAAAAAGACAGTATAAAGAAGTAAACCAGTTTAAACACCAGGAAAGGTGGTCCGATCTTAAAGATATCTATCATTCTTAGCACTGATGGTTGTAAAGTTGCCATAAAGTCAACAGGAATTTTTCTGATGACTTCACACCAGAGTTTCTAGCAATGAACAGCATCAGAAGCAAGTAACCACCACCTCTGTCATAACCAATTATAGCACTTTCATCTCTTACTTCATCTTTATCCTTTTCTGGTAGTATCTACTCCACATTTGTGAAACATTTAAGAGCATGTAGCAACAATCAGCTTTCTTACATTATTAGATTTGCTTTTAATTCCACAAAGTAGTTAAGGAGAATAGGTCCTACAAAATATTCCCGGTTATCAGCAGGATTCAAACTAATGTTTAATGTTTTAATGCCATTTCCTCAGCATGTCCACAGGGCAGGATCTTTTTTAAGTCTTAGGACAGTCTTGTTGTATAAAGTAGGTCATAGTGGTCAAATGTTCAGGTTGTTTTTATGTAACATAATTCCTGAAAAGAAACCCTGACCTATTAAACCCAATTCTGTTCTTCCAAAAATCTGTTTTATAATCCTTTCTTAAAATAATGAAGCTCCATTTTATAGCTATGTAGGTTTACTACCTACCTTACTACTATTTGTATGAAAAACTGTTCTAGAACCTCACTTACAATTCAATTTCTATGCCACGTTAGTTAAGTTAGCCATTGCCAATTTGGTTTTGAGCCAGCGAAGTCTCCAACTCCCTTCACTCAGGATTTAAGAGCTGTAGCTGGACAATGGCCATGGTCCCCTGCTGTAACTCTCAAATACAGGATCAAGCTTTCCACAAAACCTATGCAAAAGAAGTCCAGCCCAGCACAGCAGTTCCAAGAGATTCCTGGTCATCCAGAGGAAAGAGTCAAAGGAGGCTCTGTGTGATGCCCAAAGTATACAGCTTTAAAACCAGAAACCCCTCACATAGCTACTTACCACAAATTCACTTCCTGTTTGGAAAGTTTGACAGTATAAACATATCAAGAGAATAGACAGCAAACCATACCTTTGTTAAACTCCCTTTTTTTATCAGGCTGAAGAAATCTTTGTCTTTTAGTCTCCCCTCACAGGAAATCCTGCTCCAATGATCATACTAATCCTTCTACACAAGCTTGGAAGTATCAGTGCATCTTCCTCAAACGTGGAGTAACCCCAGTTGTACCCTAAACCCCACAAGCTGCTATAGTAATGGTTTGTAGAACAGTATTAATACTTACCTATATCAGTTACAAAACCGTACTAGGACCTTCTCATGGCAGAAGTTGTTTTCAACACAGCTCCCTTCTGCAGTGGACAGATTCAAGGGTGGCTTGTGACTGGAAAGAACAAAATATTACACAGCTTCAGTGATTTGAATTATCACTAAAATTAAAACAGTGAGGTATTCACCTCCTGCAGCCCCTGTAGTTTTGATTTCCTCCACAAGTGGGTGCAGTAACTCTATGTATGAGTGGCATTTTAAAGTTCCACCAAAAAAAAATAATTTTTCCCAAATTTAGTAGACTGAATAGAAGTGAGAATTTCTGCTGTTACAAAGCTGAAAAACCATTTGGTTAAATGAAGGCTGCAATTCTGATACCTCACATTAGTTATACTGTCAAGGGTGGCAACACTTTTTGTGCATAAACAAAAATTAGCTCCAACTGAAAATCAACACTACAGTGTAAGGTTTCTAAAGCCCTGTGTTAGGTTTCACAATAGACCCCATCTTGCAGCCCTCAGGCAGGAAGGTTCTTTTGCTGGCAAATCAGGGCTACTTGTTCCATTTCTTTCATGTGAGGGTCAAACTCAGACCAGAAAAGGGCATACCATTTATTCGAAGTATAACTTTATTCCCATGGCTTTTTACTTTACTGAGTGGTTTCCTTTCAATGAAAGATCCCACCATTCTACAGCTTCCAAATTATCCTTCCCAGGAATTAAAATCTTAAGCCAACTTGCAGCCTGTGAATCATCTAGAGTGTAGCCAAGCTACCAGGGCTTTACCTTAAACTCCATCCAAGTCATGACAGAGGGATTAGCTTTTATAAATCACTTTTTAAAACCTACTGTCTGATCCGAACTCCACAACCCAATCAGGTTTAACATAAACTCAGCAATGGTGCCCTAAGGCAAACTTAAGGTAAAACAAAATACATCATTTCTTATCCAGAACATGCATAAAGAGACACAGGCAGAGCTTTATGCATGAGATAACTAACATTATGCTGAGATACATGTGCTGAAGGTAAAGATCATTAAAACCTCCTAAGTCACTTTAAATTTGTTACCAACACTCGGAGTTCAGCAATATGACTTTAGCAACAAAAGAAATTAATTAGTGGAAGTTGGTGGGAGAGAAGGGGAGGAAAATGTGGGGAAAACAATGCTTCACCTTTGTCATGGTACTTAACAGTGTGGATGATGCTCTCAGCACCAAATAGAATATAGAAAACCAACTGGTTCTTGTCCTGCAGAACAGACAACAACAACAAAGGCCATCTTGCATATGCAGAAGAGGATTAAAGTCCTCTCCATATTGTTATCAACCTTCAGACAACTGATGCGTGAGGGCTTGGAGAGGCAGCTTCAAATGGCACAGGTGAGAGCACGGAAGCGACACAGCCTTCCACACAGGGGCACACACGCAAAGAAACGACAGCTTAAAAAGAACGTATTATTCAGTCATTACTTGACTCTCCCAAAAAACAGACTGGTTTGGGTTGGAAGGGACCTTAATGCTCCTCCAGTTCCAACCCCCTGCCACGGGCAGGGACACCTTCCACTACAGCAGGTTGCTGCAAGCTCCATCCAACCTGGCCTCGAACATTGCCAAGGACGGGGCGTAACAGCAACAAACCTAAACGCAGCTCTGGGGGAGGAGAAACAGCTCCGTCGTTGTAGAGCTCCGTTATAACGCTGGAGAGGTAAAACCTTAAGCAAGCAAATACAAAGCGGGAAAACAAAACCCGCCAGGCGGGAAAAACACCCGCCGCTCCCTTAAAGCCACCCTGGAACCCCCTGCTCGGGCCACGCACCCGTACGAGGCCAGGAGAGCGACCCGGCTGCTGAGGGAGTCGGGATCGGTAGCAGCACCGGCTCCAGTCTACGCTGAGGCTGAGGCTTAGGCGGCGACCGCTGAGCTGAGCTGAGCTGAGCTGAGAGCGCCGCTGATGCGCGGCCGGACGACACCGTAAGGCGCGCACCCCTGAGGCGGGACCGCACCCTGTGCGCCCGCGATGGCGGCTCGGGTAGCGCCGGGAGCAGCGGGAGAGGTTCCGGGTGGATCGGGAGCTTCCGGGATCAGCGGGGAGAAGCGGTGCGGGTCAGGGCGAGCCGGGCCGGTTCGGGTTGAGGGGGAGGATGAAGAAGGAGCAGGTGGTGCACTGCCAGTTCTCCGTGTGGTACCCGCTCTTCCGGGCCGTCACCATCCGCAGGTGAGGGGGGCGAAGGGTGCAGTGTGGGGCTGGGCTGGGTGCCGGCCTAGGCCGGGAGAGGAGTGTGTAAGTTGAAGGTGAGGAGATGTGTGGGGCTGGTCTGCCTTGGGTCGTGTTGGAAATAAGCGTGTGTCGTGGTAGGATTGAGTGAGTTAGAGGGGGACCTGCGTGGGGCAGAGCTGGGCTGGAGGTGGGGAAGGCTTGGTGGAGCTGTCAGCTGGAGTCCCAGGAGTGGGGATCTTCTTATACCCTGAGGGTTTTTTTGGGGGGCCAGACTCGGTGCTCCCAGCTCTCCTGGTGGGACCAAGCACCAGCTGATCTCCACAGCACTGCTGTTCACACTTGGGTCCTCAAAGGAACTGAGGCTGAGCACACCCAAACCAAGTGATTCACTTCATGTTTCTGTGTATTTCTGGAAGCTGTAGCAAATTCTGCAGTTTCTAAGGTGTTGCTGCCGGTTAGGAAATGGTTATGAGAACTGGCAGCAACTCAGGGAAGTCAAGCTTCAGATCATTGCCCTGTTGGATCAAAAAGACTGTTAGTAAACAAAGCATTTAATCTTTTATGGTTTGTAGAGTGTAGCACATGCGTATGTTTGATAAGTGTAGTGGCAGTTCTGCATTTTTGGAACATTCAGGTGGTATATGCAAGTTTTGGTTTGGATCTGGAAGGGTAACCTTTAGATTGAGCAAGATGTCCACTTCTCATGGGCCAAACGCACTCTTTCTTGGAGTTTCTTAAGAGTTTTGAAGGAATGTGGCTCTTTTGTGCATTTAATTTAAAATTTTTGCCTCCTTCTCCTCTACTTTCCTGGAGGGAAAATGGCCATTGATTTGTGGGAAGGAGTGAGAGGGCAGACAGAGAAATATTTTTTTTTCGTAGTGGCAGAGAATAAAGCATACCATTATTGAGAGGCGATGTATTAAAATAAATTATTTATATTAAACTCTTGCAATTATTTTAACAAATAATAATAAGTGATTAAAGAAATTCTTATGTTTCTTCTAGTGTGATACTTCCCCTACCAGACAATGTGAAAGAATATTTACTGGATGATGGAACACTTGTGGTTTCTGGAAGGTAAAGAGTGTTTTCCCCCTACCCTCCAACTAGTAATACTATTTGATATAGTCACAGCACTGTTTTGTTTACACATATGTTGCATAATGATTTATTAAAATTTGACTAGTCTGGCTGCAGTAAAGCTCATACTGTATGAGCATGTGAGCAAGCTGGTGCTGTCAGTAAAACGACTTTCTTTCAGTAAAACGACTGATGCGGAACCTAAAATCCATGTTATATATTCAGTCTAGACCAAGTGGTTCTTTCTTTTTTTTCCCCTGTCTTTCCTTGTGGAGTTTACCAGTCTCTTAGGTGCCTAGTCTGCTGGTTTGCTCTTGTTGCTTTGATACGGTTAGCTCAGTTCAGAGGCTTGATATCTCCCACACCACTCATGTGCCTGCTGCCTTATCCAGGGGTAAAGTGACTTTATCCTCTTACCCAGGAGTAAAGTGAGTTTTATTCTCAATATCATAGAATCGTAGAATGGTTTGATTTGGAAGGGGCCCTAAAGATCATCTAGTTCCAACCCCCTGCCATAGGCAGGGACACCTTCTACTAGACCAGGTTGCTCCAAGCCCTGTCCAACCTGGCCTTGAACACTGCTGCAGTAGGATCATTCACCACTTTTGGTAACCTGATCCAGTGTCTCACCACCCTCATAGTAAAGAATATCTTCCTAACATCTAATCTAAATGTCCCTTCTATCAGCTTGAAGCCATTCCCCCTTATCCTATCCTTATGTGGCTTGTAAAAAGTCCCTTTCCAGTTCTATTGCAGGCACCCTTTGGGGTTCCTTGTAGTCTTCTCCAGGCTGAACAAGCCCAACTCTCAGCCTGTCTCCATAGTAGATGTACTCCAGCCCTTGGATCATCTTCGTGGCCTCTTCTGGACTTGCTCAAGCAGGTCTACGTCCTTGTTGGGGACCTCAGAGCTGGGCACAGGACTGCAGGAGGTGTGTCATGAGAGCAGAGTAGTGGGGGGAGAATCTTCTCCCTTGACCTGCTGGTCATACTTCTTGGGATGCAGCCCAGGACGCTGTTAGTTTCTGGGCTGCAAGCGCACATTGTTGGTCATGTTGAGCTTTTCATCAACCAGCACCCCCAAGTCCTTCTCCTCGGGTTGCTCTCAATCCATTCTCCTCCCATCCTGTTTTTGTGCTTGGGGTTGCCCCAACCCAGGCGCAGGACCTTGCACTTGGTCTTGTTGAACTTCATGTAGTTTGCACTGGCCCACCTCTTGACCCTATCAAAGTTGCTTTGGATGCTATCTATAGAATCCTAGTAATTACTGAGTTCATATAATTGTTTGCATACACATAATCTGTGCATATGGCAAGGCTGAATGTCCTGTATGTATGTATTCCTATGCCAAGATTTTGAATGAAGAATGAGGTGAATAGATATTGAAACAGTTGGTAAGAACCCAGGCTTGGTTCTTTGTCTTCTGCTTAGAATCTCACTGTATGGCTTCCTTGTACAATGATTACTGCATGCAACACCTTGCTAATGATCAGACTCAGAAATCAGTCCCACTCCATCATTTCCTAACTGGTAGTTTACCTCTCACAGAGCAACCAATTAGGCTGTGAGTGTAAGGGAGTCATGTCTAATTTCTCTGGAATCAATTTGTTTGAAACTGAAGCTTTTTAAACACCCTGGAAAGATGAAAGGTCTTTTATTTTTTTTTATTTTTCATTTTTTTATTTTAATAAAAGGAATCCAGAAAACCGTGTTGTGGTTTAAGCCCAGCCTGTAACTCAGAACCATGCAGTCCCTCACTCACTCACCCCCATCTTCCTCCCCCAGCTCCCAGAGGTAACTCCCACAGGTTGAGATAAGAGCTGTCCAGTAACTACGGTATAACACAAATCACTACTGCTACCACCAGTAATAATAATGATAAGGGAAATAACAAGGGAAGAGAATACAACTGCTCACCACCCGCCGACTGACCCAGCCCGGCCTGAGCAGCGATCTAACCCTTCCGGGTAACTGCCCCCAGTTTATATAGTAGGCATGACATGCTGTAGCATGGAATACCTCTTTGGCTAGTTTGGGTCAGGTGTCCTGTCTCTGCTTCCTCCTGGTTTCCCTTCCTCCCTGGCAGAGCATGAGACTCAAAAAGTTCTTGGTTAGAGTAATCATTATTTAGCGACAACTAAAAACATCGGTTTTATCAGTGTTGTTCCCAGGCTGAAAGTCAAAAACACAGCACTGCACCAGCTATTAAGAAGGAGAAAAATGGCTGCTAGTGCTGAACCCAGGGCAAATTGTTTTTAAACCATTTTGGATAAGAAGCAATTTTGTCACCTGCTTCTGCGGAATTGTGCAACTTCTTTAGCAGCAGCTATTTATTTTTCAATAAGCCTTCAGAAAAGCTGCAACTGACTTTACAGCTGTGTTATGCAAACATTTTGGGCTCTCTTCAGTCCAATAATGAACAGCTGGAGAATTGACTTAAATTATGCTTCTTAACATGCTTCCAATTGAAAATCCATTTTAGAAACCAGTTTTTCTCTTAGTTGAACTTTCTTAGCTAGATAGAAGTGAATGTGATACGGCATTCAAGGCCATGATCTCTTTTAATCTTCAGTGAACCAGTATCTGAGCTCTAGATCTCAAAAACTGAATAGATAGTTTAATTACTATAGAAGTACATTAAGGGGCTGCAGAGACTTTGCTTGTTGAAGAGTTGAGACCTACATTTGAACTTAAGCTGTTTTCTATACTGACTTGCTGAATAAGTCTTCAAAAGCATGGTCTTCTCCTTTAACGTCTTCACACTCAGTTGTATGAAAGAACTTCAGATGTCACCTAAAACTTCAAGAGAATATTTGCAGTCAAGTGCTTTCTTGTTTTGTAACTGTCCCATCTGTGTAGAAAAAGGAACTTTTCAGGAAGAAGCTAAGAGCTCTGTTATTAGAATCTTTTTGTTATGTAGGGTGGGAGGATGTTTTCTCTTCAGAACCAGAAATTCACAGATCAACATCTGAAACTAAAGTTTAATGAATTTTTACTTGGAAAGGAATATGGAGGCAAAGCAGAATTTAAATGAAAGTTTAATTTCTGCTTCTGTCAGAGTACAGTAAAGTTGGAAAAGAATCATTCATAGGGAGTTGAAAAGCTTCAGTTGAGGCATTTTCAGTGATCTGCTAATTTGAAAAGATGTGATCTGCTAATTTGGAAGCAGCAAAGTGTGTTGGGTAGGGCCCAAGCCTAATGCCAGGGTGCTTGGTTTTCAGTTCTCAGTACTGGCTTGCTCTGATTTTTCTCTGCCAGGGGCTTTGAGGCTTATTCTTCCTGCAGAAATATTTGAGATCTGCAGCTGGTAGATGCTGCCTCATAACAGCCTTCCAATATCTGATGAGGACCTACAAGGATGCCAGAGAGGGACGCTTCATCACAGACTGTAGTGATAGAACAAGGGGAAGTGGTTTAAACTTAATCAGGGGAAGTTCAGGTTAGATATAAGGAAGAAGTTCTTTACAGTGAGGGTGGTGAGACACTGGAACAGGTTGCCCAAACAAGTGATAAATGCTCCATCCCTGGCAGTGTTCGAGGCCAGGTTGGAGAGAGCCTTGGGCAACCTGGTCTAGCGCAAGGCATCTCTCCCCATGGCAAGGTGGATAGGAGCTAGATGATCTTAAGGTCCTTTCCAGCCGAAGCTGTTCTATGGTTCTATGATATGGTCAAGTGAAACTCCAGTGCCTAATTTTTTTTTTTCCCTGCTTATTTTTTGTTTCAGAGAAGATCCACCCAGTCATGCTCAGGAGGTGAGTGATGATGCAGAGGAAATACAGGTCAGTATAAAATGCAACTTAATGCCAAGTCTCTTGAGAAAAAGTATGAATGTGTAACCTTTTCTATGTAACTTATAGGTGAGGAGAGTGCTTCACAGAAAGAATAATTGTGGTAGTTGCCTTGAGAAACTTAAGAACATTATTTATGCTGTCATGGAAGGTTTAAAATGTTTCTGTGCTCTTTCACAGAGACTGCCTTTTTATTATTTCTTGATAATTGTGTTTGTAATAATGAGTAGATAATGTTGAAGGATGTTGGAACTGAATTTAATGCCATTTCGTGCCCTGAAAAAATAGGAGTACAACATTTGGAGGAGTTATTTCAAGAGACGGTTAAAGTGTCTGTGGCAATAATAGCTCATAAGGGTATTCCAGAAGAAAAATGCTGAAAAATATAAGTAAAAAGTGACGGTACAAAATGGGATGAAAAAGAAATATAACTGAAACTGATGGGTCAATTGTCCAAGGATGGAAGTGCTGGAGACAGGCTTTAGGCAGGGAAAGCTGTGGAGTTCTGAGACATCCAAGTCTGTGATGGAAATCACAATTAAATTACACAGTTGTCTTCTCTTATCCATACTTTAGAATAGTACTTTGATGAATATACAGCATTTTTCCTGTCTTAATTTGCAGCTGTCATAATTGGAGGATTGTGATGTTATGCTGCTGGAGCTCCAGGGCTATGATTTGATCTACATCTAGCTTTTAGGAAGCTAGATAAATTTTGATGTTCTCATAAATGATAAAGGAGCTCAGGAGACAAGTAACCTTTGATTTGTTCTTATTTTAAACAGTGGTCAGATGATGAGAATACTACAACACTTAAGGTAAGGCCCTAACACATGGGTTTGCCAGCAGTACCCTTTCTGCAACCTCGTGATACAAACTTGTTGCCAGTTAGAGATACCTGATGCTGTATTTAATGTTCTTCAGACCATTCTAGACAGATGGCAGTGTGGATGTATGTAACTTCAAAAAAGTTTTGCTGGCTTAATTTTGTTTAACTAAAAATAAAATGCTTTTCTTCATCCCCAACAATCACACACTTGTTAGACTATAGGAAATGAACTGGGGTTGCCTCTAAATATAGCTGTCTTTAATTTTCACCACTCTGAATATCTCCCAATTACTTAATCAGACTGGATGCAGAAAAAATAAAGCCCCTGCAGCTCAATTTTCAAATCTGCTCTTACACCTGTGCTGTGCCACTATTTTCTCCTTCTTTCTATATTTTTTTTTTTTTTTTTACTTTCACTGTGTCTGGCTTAGAATCAGGATCATGATTGATACCAACGAGGCTTCTTTGATGGTAGAATCATAGAATGGTTTAGGTTGGAAGAGGCCTTAAAGCTCATGAAGTTCCAGACCCTTACCCTGGTCAGAGACACCTTCCACTAGAGCAGGTTGCTTCAAGCCCCTTCCAACCTGGTCTTAAACACTGCTGGGGGTGGGGCAGCCACAGCTTCTCTTGGCACCCTGTGCCAGTACCTCACGACCCTCGCAGGGAAGAGCTTCTTCCTAATGTCTAATCTAAATCTCCCCTCTGTCAGTTTATCGCCATTCCCCTTTGTTCTATCCCTGCAGACCCTTGTAAAAAGTCCCTCTCTGGGTCTCTTGTTGGCCGCTTTAGGCACTGGAAGCTGCTCTAAGGTCTCCTCAAAGCCTTCTCTTCTTCAGGCTGAACAATCTCATCTTTTACATCTTTTTTGAAACTTGCTCTTGTGCTATCATCATCAGAGTTAATGTACTTGTGTCGCTTGTCTGCCATTGGTACTGTTATTTCAGTGTTTCAGCTGAGTGTATTCCAGCTCAACAGTGTTGAATCGGTCACATTGGATTAGGTGCAATATAAACACAGCCCTGCTCTGAGTCGTATGTATGCTAGAACAGAATTTATAGCCTAGATTATAAAACTATTTCATGCCAGATTTGCACATGCTAATAGCTTCAGTTCAAAGATCTAATCTTTGAGAAAGTAGATGCTTTCGACTGTAAATTAGTCAGAACAAGGATTTTGGTATCTGGCTTACCTTTTGCAAATTCATGTTAATGCAGCTGAAGAAATATCAAACTTTTGAATCAGGTTTCATTATAGTGTACAACATGATAAGGAAATACGTTATCAAGAGGTATGGCACCCAGGGTACAGGCTAAGTGGTTTCGGTTTAGCTATGTAAGCACTGTAAGGATTGCAGTTTTACAGCTAAAGACATTACCTTTACTGGGGCTGGCTGCGATGGAGTTAACTTTTAGCTGTTGTTGAACAGTGCTTGCATAGCATCAAAGCTTTCTTTTTTTCCCGCTCTGCTCCATGCCCCTCTCCAGCAGGGATAGGCAAGAGGAGAGAGGACAGAGTCAGGACAGCTGACCTGAATTGTCTTAGGGGATATTCCATACCCTATAGCATGATGCTCAGCAGTAAAACATGGGCAGAGGAAGGAGTGTTTTGGCCTCCAGGGTGGCTCTTGTTCAGAGACTGGTAGGGCTTTGTCTTTTGCCAAACCTGTACCTTTGGAAATGATTAATAATGAACATTTTCCAACCTAGTTGATCTGTTATTCTATGGTTTATGCCCATGGCATAAAAGAAATCCTCCAAAAATACACCTACACAAAGAAACAGGCTCTTGAAAGTAGAATTTCACAATATACTCTTTATCTTGCAAACTTGGTAAATGATCGCTCTGATGACTCCATCATGGCAAATATGCTTTCTCTACCTGAAAACTAGGGACTGCCAGGAAGTGAATGGAAATAGTTTTCGGTGCTTTTAAGTGTTGACTGTTACCCTTTTGAAAGTGTTGAAGAGAGTGAAGAAATGACCTGTGCAGAAGGCTGGGGAGCTGCATCTGGAGTTACCATAACAGATGAGAATGGATCAAGTAGATCATTGTGAGGCTGGTGAGGCGCTGGCACAGGGTGCCCAGAGAAGCTGTGGCTGCCCCATCCCTGGCAGTGTTCAAGGCCAGATTGGATGGGGCTTGGAGGAACGTGCTCTAGTGGAAGGTGCTGCTGCCCATGGCAGGGGTTTGGAACCAGATGAGTTTTTAGGTCCCTTCTAGCCCAAACCAGTCTGTGATTCTGTGAAGTAGTGATATGTAAGCTGAACAGGGAGACAATAGGGAACATAAAGTGTAAAGAAGAGTGGGGCAGGCTGGAGACTGCTGTTCTGTATTCACTGTCATTCATTCATATCTTACTGATGATAAATCCCAGGTTATATTGGCATTGGTTTCTTGGCTCAGGGAGCAATACAGTGGGCTGTGGTTGTGATTATTCTGATTTGAAGACCTGCCTGAGTTGCCAGGTAGAACTTGTTTCCCTGTGTGTGTTCTGATGAAGAATTAGCAGATAGGATTATAAAAAAAATCTGTGTTTAAAAAAACATGCATTAATATTGATGGTTGCAAAGCTAGGCATTTAGAATTTAGGGAATGATAGAATCCAGCTTGTTTATGCAGCCTTGGAGCTGTCCTCTTGTTTATATTTCTTCACTTGTATTAACCAAATGACATGATGATGACATGATGTAACATTTCCCCAGAGAAGTTTAGAATCTGCTTTTATTACATATATAGTGTGACTCCTGACTTGGGTCAAAACGAGAGGCAATTGGATCAGAATGCAGTGGATGAAGGGTCTTACTTCTCGCAATTTCTAGAACTGACTGAAGCTCTGAAAATAAAATAAGAGAAGTTCTCTTTCAGTTTTTCAGGTGTAGTTTCTCAGTGGAGACCAGGTAATGTACTAAGGAAAGGTTCAGACAGTTTGAAGCTCAGTCTGGGTCATTGTGCTAAAATGCGAGAGTGCTTTCTTAAGTGTCTGCATTTGGGGGGCCTGCAGAAAGGAAATACGAAATGTATGAACTTTTTTGGTCACTTGTGAGGCTATGAGGGCTGCTTTGGTTTAAAGATATCAATTAGCTTTAGCCTAGAAGTTATCTTTGAGTTTCAGAACACTCAGCCAGAAGCAGTGTTCTTGTATACTTGTTATAAATCCTGTTACATGAAAAGTCTCTTAACATACACCAGAAATCCTTTCATATTATTTTAAAGGTCAGCAATCTGGGTTTTTTTTTCTACTGCACCACATTCAGAGTGGAGTTGACTGTATCCTGAGGAGTTTCTTTTTTCCTCTTACATTTACAATATTGACAATGGTCTTTACAAGACAAGGTTTTCTAATCCAACCCATACCTTTGCGCATGTTCTCTGTTTTGATGCAATATATTGTTAAGGGGCTACTTTAAGACCTAATATGAGAGCTGATTAAAGTATTGCTAATATTGTTTTGTAAAACTAAAGCTTAAATGAGGAGCTGTCACTCAAATTGTCTATGAATTATTTACTTCTGCTCTCTTACTGTGCTTGTAAATGCAACTGAAGAACTATTACAAAACAGTAATTATCTCTTTCTACCTTTTAATACTTTGACAAAATACTACAATATTTGTATTTTATATTTTTTAAGAGATGCTTAATTCTAACAAACTATTTTTGAAAGTTTTCTTGCTTTTAAATCTTTTTAGATCTTATTTGTATACATGATCAGGTATAAACCAATAGGTATGTGTTTAAGGTCTGTTTATTTGACTTGCATATTTGCAGCTATTGCAGCTTTCATGATGAATGTTACAAAGTTTTGGGTTTTCCCTGAAGTTCATGGAATCTTCCAGTAATGAGGGGAGACATATTTTCAGTTTTCTGTGATTGAATGTGTCAGAGTTGGTTCTTAAGTGATTTACTTCTACAAATACATTATTTTGAGGGGGTTCTTGTTTCCTTATTTTGGACATATTTATTCCTTCTATAATATGTATTTCTAATGGTATTTGGATTTTTTTTCACTATTAAATATATTGAAACTGATACTTTTGTTGTTGTTCTTTGTACAGGCACCCGAATTTCCTGAGTTCACAGCTAAAGTTGAAGAAGCAATAAGTTCCTTGGGTGGTAGTGTTTTTCCTAAACTTAACTGGAGTGCTCCAAGGGTAAGAATGCTGATTCCCAAAACTTGGAACAGATGTTATCATGAGGCTTTTTCTGATTATTTGTTTTATCTTAATGCACTGGAAAGTAGAAGAGTGTAGTGATGAAGGAAGAAGTGATAGACAAGATATCAGTGAAGCATGATAGAGCAAATTGTTCTGGTGGATTAGAGCTAAATGGTGCACTGTTTGGTGAGGCTGATGCAAGACAGCACTGGCTTTCTTACATAAAACCCCGTGTCCTTGTCACAGATAAGAGTATGATGGTCAGACTCTTCTCATTGAGGATACTGGCTGGAAACTTTGCCTGGGATAAAGATTAAAACCACCACATTTAAAAAAAAAAAAAAAAGTGATAAAACAGGGGAAGTTTAGATTGGATATAAGGAAGAAGTTATTTACTGTGAGGGTGGTGAGACAGGAGCAGGTTGCCCAAGCAAGTGGTAAATGCTCCATCCCTGGCAGTGTTTAAGGCCAGATTGGAGAGAGCCTTGAGTGACATGGTCTAGTGTGAGGTGTCCCTGCCTGTGTCAGGGGGTTGAACTAGATAATCTTAAGGTCCTTTACAACCCAAACCATTCTGTGATTCCCTTTAGGTATATTTGGTACTCTTAACTATACCTTAAGGATGGATGCACCCAAATGTGTTTGTATCATATTCTCAAGGGAAACTTGTGTTCAGTCAAGCATTCCAAGGAAGTGCCTGGAACAGGAAGGCAAAACTTGGTTTTTTAAGTGGATTTGATCTGCTTCAAATGGAGTATTTATAAGAAAAGCAATAACTATTCTGTGTCTTGTAATGTAAACTTCAGCAAGTGAAGTTTTCCTCAACATGAAATAATCTTCTGTCTGTATTTCAAATACTGTATAATATGTAGCTAGATCTGCAGCTTGCATTCCTTCTAGTTAAGGTGCATTTTGGATAATCTCCTTTTTTGTTTAGGATGCCTACTGGATAGCAATGAACAGTTCTTTGAAATGTAAAGCTCTCAGTGACATCTTCCTCCTCTTCAAGAGTTCAGACTTCATCACTCGTGACCTCACTCAGCCGTAAGTAGATTTCTAGCAGTCTTATACACAACCAGACAAAAAACCTACCAACCCTCTAAAAGTAACTTTTCAGTTCTTTTGAAAGATCTTACTCTTTACTGTATGTACAGCAATGGTAAATATCAGATACAAACATACATGTTCATGTTTAAAAGTTATTCAGGGGCTGTAATATGTTTTAGGTATGGTAAGTTAGATGTTCTTTGAAGTTTCCCCACCCCTTCCTTCCTTCCTTCCTCTGTCTCCCTCCATGGTGCAAAGATTAATGCCAGTGTGGAGAATTGCAAGGCAATTTAGTCCAATTTAGTGTGGAGAATTGCAAGGCAAATTATCTTCACTGTTACTTGCTGAGAGTGAGTCTCGCATGGTAAACCAGAATTGTTTACCTAGCTTCAGTCAACAGGAGAGGAGCAGCCTCTGTTTTATTATTCCATTAATTCTCTTGGTTTTAATATGCAAATGAGTAAAATCAATAGAGGAAGATATTAGGACAAGGGGAAATAGCTTTAAACTGCAGAGGGGAGATTTAGATTAGATATTAGAAAGTTCTTCCCTGTGAATGTGGTGGGGCGCTGGCCCAGGTTGCCCAGAGAAGCTGTGGCTGCCCCATCCCCGGAAGTGTTGAAGCCTCAATTGGATGGGGCTTGGAGCAACCTGCTCTAGTGGAAGGTGTCCCTGCCTGTGCCAGGGGGCTGGAACTGGGTGAGCTCTAAGGCCCCTTCCAGCCCAAACCATTCTATGGTGATATTAAAGTAGTGCCTGCAAAATGACACTATGGACTAAGACCATTTTTCTGAGTTGCTTTCCACAGAAAGTGATGTTTTAATCTTGGTTGTACAGGTGTTTTCTTTCCCACCCCTTTTGGCATTTGCTTGTTGCTGTTTCTCATGGTAATACAATGTTACTTTGCCATGTCCCTTTCAAATTTTGAAGCTGTTGAAGTTTGTGTTGTGCTGTTGAATTTGAAGTCGTGGCTGCCTGGAAGATGCCTGAAAATTCTGCAAATGTATTCCTACAACTTCTTCTGAACCCAAGTTCTTGTAGGTCTTGAACAAGTGCACTCCAGGAACTGTGACTATGGGTAATGGTTACAGTTAAAATAACAAATACAATGTGCTTGGGGTTTATTTTATCTGCTTGCATGAGGAGAACGTAATTGTATAGGAACATACTTTTCCTAGAGTACCTGCATGTGATTCATGTCACTCATTTCTAAAATACAGCCTTTTTTCTGAAAGAAAATTATTGGAATTTAATTTCTTGATGCTATTTTTTTATCCTTCCCTCCAGCCCCCAGAAAAGCAGAATTTCAAAGCAAAGGCCAGTCCATGGCTTGGATTAGACTGTTTTCCAGTAATTATTGAATGCTTATTTATATTACGGCAGTATTTAAGTGACTCAGTCAAATGCAGGGCCCTTCTAGGTACTTTATAGAATGTGAAGTAGCTTATGGTGTGATTTCCTGTGTGAAGTAGCTTATGATGTGGTAAGAATTGTCTTGCCTAAAATGTGAAACCAGATGCATTAAATGTGGTGCAACTGCCTTCTTTAATTCCTGCAACTCTGATAACACTTTTCTCACCCCCCCAGTTTGTTGGTACATTAGAAAAATGATAGGTAGCATCATCCTCATCCTTACCTCTGCATTTATGGAGTGCTAGCAACACTGTCAGGCCAATTCTGGTGCTAGGCTTTACATTATATCTAACCTATGACATTATGAGGTGCAGGGGAAGAGGCTGTGAAGGCAGGGGGAGGGTGCTGGTGTGAAAAGAATCATACACATTGTATTATCCCTTTGTGAATATCAAATAATATGGGTTTTGTATCCTACTATCCTCATGTATAAAGAGGTTCAGCTGAAAGTACCTTGAGCTCCTTGGAGAATTCCTATTTGGTTAACCATTTTCTAATCAATTTGGAATACAATCAGGGGTTAGCAAGCACCACTTGATTTAGAAGATGTGGCAGCTCTGTGTGTGTGTTTGTGCTCTTATTTTATGCTCTTTCTGTGGTATAGAGGTGGTTGAACCACCTTCACTGAGACTGAAATGAATGCATTTTCTGTCAGGTTTTATCTCACACCAGGTAGAGTTAGTGCCTCAGCCATTCACCTTGCCTGCTGCAGACAGTGCTGACTTAGTGGTAGAGGCAATGAATGCTCCTGTGTTGTGAGATTTCACAGCATGGGTGTTAACTTGAACCACCAGTAATTTCACCTGAAGTTCACACCAGATTGCAAACGGTAGTGACCGAGCAGCCTGTAGCAGGCACACTCTCTTCCACTGATCCTGCTGTGGGAGAATAACCTCTAGCAAAAAGACAACACCTCAAATTGCAGTAGCTCAATCCATTTAGACTTCTTTTCCAGTGTGGTAAAACCACACACACTGCTGGATAGCACAGCTCAGGTAGTGGGTGATAAATAAGCAAACTTTGTGACAAGACTGTGGGATCATCACCTAATCTAAAGGTTAAATTTCATTTGAGATGTTGAATTTATTTCCCTTCCTGTAAATTCTAATCTAATGTTGGTATACATTTGGGTTGGGGGGGGGGGGGGGGAGGTTTGACAGGATAGAGTTAATATGAACAGTGCAGCCTTGGTATTTCCATGACTTTGAATGGAAGTTGTACTTAGGACTAGGAGAACATGTGTAATGGATAAAATCACTTTGGTCTTTATGTATCTTATATTTTACAAATATGTTGTACTTGGTTAAGGCACGTATCATTGGCCAATCTGTGCAGGGTATTTCTAGATTACTAAGTTATTTGTATAAAATGTCCCCAGCCAAGAGTGAAATGATTGTTGCTGAATTAGAGCAGTGCTCTTCCTTAATCAAACTATCGATTAGCTGCCAGTTTCCTCATCCTTAGCAAGCAGAAAGTAAAAATGTATCTGGCATAGGAACCTGAAGTGCTGAACAAATGGAAATTGGATATATAATACATCTAAATCCCTTGGAAGAGCTACTCGGAGGCTAAATGCACCGTATTTCATTAATACTCAATATGGTCTAAAAGTTTCTTGCCCTGCATAACAGCTGGGATGCTGTATACCATTTTGTTGTTTTGTTTTCTGTTCAATTGTATTAGCTTGAAAATCCACTTCATGGGTCATAATATGGGAACAACTTTGCGATAGCCATTTGAAGGTCTCTTTCTTAATCCAGCTTTGCCAGTGATGTGGACTTCAGACAAACCACTTTCTTTGCCTCTTCCTTCCTCTCCCATTTCCCGTTTGCTTATCTGGTATTGATCTCTGTGTTGCTCAGGTCAGGGAACTGCCCTTGCTGTAATTCTCAACAGTTTCAAGTTCCAAGATAGCTTCAGCTGTGCAAAACTTAAGCAAACATTAAAAAACCATGGCCTTCATGCAGATATACTGAGGATGACTAGATAAGCTTTGACTATTTAAAATGCTTGGGTTCTGTCATGATTTTGACACTTTGGTTGGTTGAAATGTTCAGAATAATGAGCTAACTTTCCTCCTTGTTAATTTTGTATAAATTAACAAAGACTTCAGAGCAATGCACTCAATGTACTCAGTGTTGTTTCTGCTTCAAAGTGAACACTGCATTTTACTTAGCTGAGTTCACAAAAAAAGCCTTGTGTGTGGTGTTATCTTTTTAGGTTTTAATGTAGACTTTCAAAAACTTCATGTTGTGGATATGTGATGTAAAAAAAATCTCTTCTAATTGGGATTTCTGTTAAGTGATTGAAACTCCTCTTTTGAGCAAAAATCCTCTTAAAGCCCTGTGGAGTGTGTTGGTTTAGAACACAGTTTTCTTCCTTATGGTTGGAATGTGTGGACTGCATTTAGTTAAAACATGATTGCCCACATTGAGACTAGTATAAATATTAGCAGTAGTTCTAATGATAGATAAGTAATAACCTTTCAATGATAAGATAACCATGTTGTTATATCAGGCTTGTTAATAAACCTTGGAAGTTTAGTCAAACTTCAGAGATTGTTCCTGTTCTACAGGGCAATACTGGATGTTTTAAATCTGCAGCTGCTGCTATTGGGATTTTTGAATGCTAAAGTGTCATTTTCCCAGTTGTTTAATAATCACAACTGGAGAGGTAAAATAAGAAGTCCTGTGAGTTCAACCTTGCTGAAAAGCAATCTAATGCAGAGAAGAACTTTTTCAGGGATTGCCCTTTGACTTATTGTATAGGGGCAGTATGTGTCACATGTAGGAACGGCTGTTTTCTAATAATGTGCACTGCATAGAATCATAGAATACCAGGTTGGAACGGACCTCAGGGATCATTTGGTCCAGCCTTTCAAGGCAAAGCATGTCCCAGCCGAATCTTAATGAAGATGTCCAGTGCTAGGGAATCTGCCAATTCCTGGGGAGATTATTCCAATGGATGTTTGTTCTCATTGTGAAAAATTTTTCTCTTGTGTCCAGTTGGATTCTCCCCAGGGTAACTTGTGCCTATTACCCCCATCTTTTCCATGTGACTCCTTGTAAAAAGGAAGTCTCCATGTTCTTTGTGGCCACCTTTTAAATACTGGAACATGGTGATAAATTCTCCCTTGAGCCACCTTCTCTCCAGTCTGAACAAACCCAGTTCTCTCAGCCTTTCCTCACATGGCTTCCGAGTCCTGGGATCATCTTTTTGGCCCTTCTGTGGACTCTCTCCACGCTGTCCACATCTTTTTGTAGTGTAGGGACCAAAACTGAACTCAGTATTCCAGGTGGGGCCTGACAAGCACTAAGTGGGATAATGGGATAATGTGTTTAGAGTAGGATAACTTAAGTGTTGTAAATTGACTCATTATTTATTGGACCATCTGGTGCTCCGTAACTGTTACTTGCAGAAGCTCATTCCTGAGAACTCTTTGAGAAACTAGTTAGATAGGTGGAGTGCCCAAAAGTAGCCCCTCAGCCCTGCCTAAGCCCAGGAAACTTGTAGTAGGTAAGAAATATCTACTGGGTTAATGGAGCAGGTGAAACAACTCCTCTTGAGCCAAGGAAAAGTTTCCAAATGTATTAATGTGCAAGATTCAAAGGAACATGAGGAGAGATACATTTTTTGTTGGTTGGTTTGTTTTAGATGTTTGTAAAAGTGCTGATTAGTGCCTGTTTCTGAGAACAGTTGAGAAAGTCTGCTCTTGAGTGAGGTTTAGCCTGTCAGATTCCTAACACATTGTGTAACTTTAAAGCCTAGCAGGTGCTTCAGTCCTTTCTCTTTTCAAGCTACCATTCTGACTACGTTTTTGATACCAGACTTAATGCTTCTAAATACTGAATTACAAATTAGGAAGTTTTTCTGAGATGTGGAGTAACAAGCTGCATTCTCCTAACGGAATATAGGAGGCAGTGTTGGCTCATAAATACGTGCCTTGGCTCCCAGGGTACCTTGCATAAAGCAACAGTCGCTGTCAGTTCAGACTTTAGTATAACCTATTTCAAGGTAGACAGTTCCACATGAGAGCATGTGGAAAATGAGGCCCTTGATTTTTTTCTTTTTCCTTGAGGTTTTACTTGCATCCCATTTTTCCTAGCAACTTGCAGTGTACTGTAAGATTCTTTTCTGAATGATGCATGAATTTCCTGTTTCGTTAAGTCCTTAAAGTTTCAGCAAGGTTCAGTATTCTTATAAACCTTCTGAAATTGCTTTTCTGTGTGTTGAAAACTAAACCACGTAATGGCTTCATGTGGTGTGTCCAGTTGTGAAATACGTGCATTTGGAAATTAACATGCAGCAGCTATGTATAAAGAGACCTTGATCCTTCTGTTCTTGACGTCTAAGTAAATATCTATAAATAAGCTGTTGACTACAGCCCAAGGCCTATAAGCAGTAGAGTTTAATTCCTTTACCCTTAGTAGTATTCCAAAGTGCAAAGGCTTCAGAAAAGAGAGCCCAGATATATCTTAATTTTGTGTTCCTAAAGTCTTTCTGATCATTCTTTCAAGTACATCCAAACTTGACTAGGATGTGGGTTAAAGAAGCCCCTTCTAGCATTCTGCCTTGTAACATTGAAAGTCCACATGTAATAGATGAATTCAGCTGGATCTGGACAATTAATGCTACAATAAATTAGTAAAAAATATAGAATTGCAACTCCCTCGACTTGTCCAAAATTCCAACCCCCACCCCCCCCGAAATAAAGGAGTTATGTCCTTTTTGTTGGCAAAAGCTTGTAATACTATTTAGAAGCAAAATGAGGCAACAAAAGTTTGTCTTTTGCTGCATTCTCCCATCTTTTTCCTCATTTGTACTCAGTCCTGTGTCATTAAGGCTCAAGAAAAATAATGTCCTTTTGTCTTGCAGTACTTTTGCTACATTCATCAGTTTGCTTGTTTGCTTGATTTGGCAGCAATACTTCAGCTGTCTGTGTGGCTTGGGATGACACCCCAGGATTTCATTTTCTGACTTACAAGAAAAGGAGAAGTATCTTTCCCACATAGCTCTTACCCAGGGTTAGGTTAGCTGTTACCTGTAGCTTCCTTACCAAGGGTTAGGAAGGGGAAAGTTGGTTGTTCATAAGGCTGTTTTTTGAGTGCTGGAAAGACTGCATGTTAATGGAATGAAACAGATTGCAGGTACCCTGATCTCAGATATGGAAATCTGTGAGAGCTAATAAGGGTCCTAGTGCGCAAGGGCTGTAAAACTCCATGGGCTGGACTTCAGCTGCCTTTAAATATACAGTTTATGACTGGATTTGTGTGTGGGGGGCATTTTCTTGAGCATGGTAAGCATGTGTACTAGTAAGGGGGGAATTCTGAATTTAGCAAGACTGCAAGCTCTCATGGGTTTGTTTCTATTGCCTTGACAGATCTTAAATTGTGTGGAATATAAGCTGTAGTTGAAAGATGTTATCTGTTTACATAGGCTTACAGATATATATGATCTGTTTGATTACAGTACTTCTAGAAAGCATGCCTGCTATCGCCCTTCTTTTCTGTCTGTAGTGGATATTAAAGTCTAAACTAAAATGTGTGACATGTATTTCTGGCGGCAGCATACTGAATGAACTCTTACAATAGCTCTTCACTTCAAACTGAAGGCTGGGCAGCCATATCTTACAAATGCAATGCTTATATTAGAGATGCTGGACTTCTGGATTGCTTAACCAAGTTCAGTGCTGAAGGGAGACAGTATAAATGTTGCCATTTAAGACTGTTGCTCCACAGTGATCCTTCACACAGCCCTATGCATCAAAGTAGTTTGCCACTAAGGTCAGAGAGTACATTTGGAAGGAAAACACATGTTCTTTTGCTAATTCCCTTTTAAAGTTACAGGATTTACAGCAAAGTTTGCTGTAAAATGACAAAAAGGTGCGTGGAAATTGGCTTGGGTATAACTGCCTCCATTCTTGATAGCTCCTGAAAGGTGACACACAGAATCAGCTACTCACAGGGGACAAAACCTTGACATCTGCTTGCAGTTATGGAAATAATTTTGTTTATTCCCACTCTCCAGAGATTTGTAAGAGTATTTTTTTAAGGCTCTTAATTTAGAAAGGTACTGTGCTGTGGAATCAGAAGTGCGAGTGGTGCTGTTTTGCATCCCTTATTCATGGAAATGAACTGCTCTAAGGCATGATGATGTGTCTCAGTTGTGTGGTTTAGGAATTTAAACATTAAAAGTACCAGGAAAAACACACTGCAGTGAAACTAGATTAGTTTATCTGGTTCTTTGACGATGCACTTATGCCAACATAACAACCAAGACCAAAAGAACAGTACTGTTGATTCAAACAGGAGAAAACCAACAGTGAATAAATACATTTTAGCCACATCCCTGTCCAAATTTAAGTGCTTCTAAATTACACTAGAAGAAAAGGTTGAATTTTTTTCTTCTTCTTCCCTCCCTCCCCCCCCCCCCCCAATAATTGTCACCAGGAGGTTCGTTATATATATATTGAATGTACTTGGTTTATATGTGTTGGAGAGAATTTAACAGTAACTTTTGTGATTCACAGTTTGGAATTATTTTTCTCACTGTAGCTAAAATCTTACATGTAAAAGCAGATTTTAATGCCCATGCCTTACTTTTCCAGATTTATTCACTGTACTGATGATTCCCCAGATCCTTCCTTGGACTATGAGGTAGGACTCTTTGCATGACTTCTAGGTAATAAAGGACTCGCAGGTTGCCATTTGGGCTTGGGTATGTGTCTATACAATTTGTTTTGTTTTAACTGTGTTGCTTGCGCAGAGTGGGGAACTCTGGTTAAGAGCTACAGGTCATAAGGAATTCATTTAATGGCAGGTCAGAGGAGTTGAAGTTCAGACTTTTGAAGTTTCCTTGCAATTTTCTCTCATGCCTGTCAGGTTTTGCTAGGAAGGACAAGTTCAAAAATCATATATACTTGATAGAGTGCTGCTTGTGAAGATCACAACTGAGATTACTAAGAGAGAAGCTACCTGTAGTGGCTATGGACATCCTGAACAGAAGTGGTCTGTCATATCTTGTTTCATATGCTCATTACCAAATTAAAAAGTTAAGCTGACAATGTAGATGCTTTAAACTGTGTGGTGCTATTGCTTTCATTTTTTCATTTCTCTAAAAAAGATTTTTATGTAAATATAACATTTGTCATCCTCTTGTGTTCTTAAAGAGCTTTAGAAATGTGAATGAATCTTTTTTGTTTTTTTTTTTTAAAGCACTATCTGATGTGCTTTAAGGATACAGGGCATCTAAAAGTTGGAACAAAGAGTTTCATGGTTTATGTTGTCATTATGAGTATCATCTTTGATTACTGAGGTTTTCCTAATACAGTTGATAGGTGTTGGGAGTTTCCAGTATCTGCAGCGGTACTTGAGGCCTTCAAAATAATGTATTCATCTGAATACTTCAGCTTAGGAAACACAGAAACTTGAGAAAGTGCCAGAGATATGCTTTAATTACCAGGCAGTCTGTCCTGATGACTGTAATAGTTTGGTTACTATTTCTATCTCCATGTACTTATTTTAACTGGTTTGCGCCTTCAAAGGCGTCACAGGATTCTGCTTGGGTGTATACCAAAATAGAGTTTCATTTGGTTAAATTTAATTCTGCTCATCAGCTCTTTTGGCTAGGGAGCAACTTTCTGCCAACTCCATCAGAGATTTTCTGTGCCTTCAGCAGGGTTTTTGGTTTCCATGCTTTAACGTTAATATAACTTTGAAGTCGCTTCATAAATAATTTTGTGGTTATAAATGCCATACAAAGTGAAATAGCATAAGATAATTAAGGTAGGAAGGGGCCTCAGGAGGACTCTAGTCCAGATTCATGCTCAAAGCTGGGTAAGCGATGAGATCAAATCAGGTTGCTTGGCATTTTATCAAATCTGGACAGGGTTCAGTGGAAGGAGGCTGCGCAACCTCTGTGTTCCAATGCTTGATGGTCCTCATGGTGAAAGAGAGTCTTCTGTTCAGCCTGGAGAAGAGAAACTGCGTGGAGGCCTTATAGCATCCTTCCTGTATTTGAAGTGGGCCTACAAGAATGCCAGAGAGGGAGTGTTCATCAGGGACTGTAGCGATACGACAAGAGGCAGTGGGTTCAAACTTAAACAGAGGAAGTTCAGGTTGGATATAAGGAAGAAGTTCTTTACTGTGAGGGTGATGAGGCACTGGAATGGGCTGCCCAAGGAAGCTGTGAATGCTCTATCCCTGGCAGTGTTCGAGGCCAGGCTGCATTGGACTTGGAACAACCTGGTCTAGTGAAAGGTGTCCCTACCTTCCACTAGATGAGCTTTAAGGTCCTTTGCAAGCCAGACCATTCTGTGATTCCATGTCCAGTCTTAACCTTTCTACTTTAAATTAGTTTGGACTAGATGGTCTTTGGATGTCCCTTTCAGCCGACAGCTTTCCATGATTCTGTGGAATGAATATTACGTCTAATTGCTCTGAAGTATTTGCTAAACTGATTATGTGATGTGAAGGTTAAGATTGTTTTGTTTTCTTCTACTGGGAATAATTTCAAAGGTCATCTTATTCTTACAGCAAAACTGTAGCTCTAGAAGGTATACAAAATATTACCTGTTACCTTTCTGAAACAATACTTTGTTTTTCCTCTATAGCTTGTCCTTCGAAAATGGTGTGAGCTAATCCCTGGTGCAGAATTCAGATGCTTTGTCAAGGAAAACAAGCTCCTAGGTAAGGATTTGCTTAAAGATAAAATTATTAGGTGAAGTTCTGAGGAGTTTCTCTTATTTCCTTGAATCAGAGCTAAATCTGAAGACAGTTCTTTGTCACACCTCATTTCTAGAATTAATGCTTTCTTCTTTTTGTAATTTAAAATGTGGCATACCACTGTATTGACAACACAGCATGCTCAGTATTACAGTGGTAATATTCTTAATTCTAATTGCTAATCCAGAAACTTCACCCAAAGGCTGTTTTGTAAGTGATTCTTTTATATTCAGGAGTGAATTGTATCGTCTCCAAGTTGCAGAACGAAGCAGTTGGGTATTATGCTGACAAAACATGACCACATGTGGGTATTATATGCAGAAAGCTGGGGAGGTCAGAACACATCCACAAGTGTATGAGACATCTGAGTTCGTATCATATTCAGTGTAGCTTAGTCAGAAAACCTGTTGATCTGTTACTGTGGTTCAAAATCTTCAATGTAAAATGTTTCAAGTGGCACTGACCAGCAAGGGTACCCACAGCATGCAAAGAGCTGGTGGGTGCATCGGGAGGCTTGAAACAGCTCTAGGACAGGCAGCAAGTGTATTAGGTAGCTCTAGGGTAAATTTAGCTGAATTGTACTCCTCTGGATGTCTTGACTGTTCTCTGCTGACTAGAAAGAGCTTAGACATCTACTGCATGTACAGGTGCTTGGATTGAGGGGTTTCATTTTAGGCTAAATACTGTTCTGGAGTTTGAATTCTGTTTTGGTGTGGAATCTTTAAAGATGAACAGAAATGTAAATATAACAGGACTGGTGCACATTTGTCCTCAACAAGACTGAATCATTCTGCCTAAATTCCTCTGACAAGGAAATGTTACAGCAGTGATGTAGCAAAGCACTTATCCAGGTTTTATGGGAAGGAGGGTGATTTTTTGCTTTAAAATAAAACCAAGTTTGCTCATTTTGTCTGTCCCATCCCTACATATTCGCAAGCACCATGGTGGAGATATACAAGTGGTCTGTCCAACATTCCTTGTTGTGAAATGGAAGGGAAGGGATATTAGAGGTCTCCTCCTCATTGCTTTTCCTCGCTCCTTCTCAGCATGGTGACTATGTGCTTGTTCTCGATGTGCCTTTCTGTACCTGTTACATGCTGTCAGCAGTTTTGGTGCTCCATCATGTCTCACCTCTGTGAATCGTTAGGAATGTATTCCCTGTACTTTGTTTCCTGATCTGGGTGTAATCCTATAGAGCTGCACATAAATGTTTTGAAATGTGCTAATCTAGGTGCTGTCAACACATACCATTCTTATAGCCCTCTTATTTGGCTGTTCTTCTGGTGCTTTATGCTCGTCTTCCCATTCTCTTTCCATTTGTGCCAGTTGCAGGGTTTATTATGGTTTTCTGTATCAGAGTTTATCTTGCTAATAGCAGAGATATTCTCCAGTAAGTGGGTATTGCTTAATGGCTGCAGACATGGCTTTTTTAAGGCAGAAGAGCTGAATCTTGTTCTGTTACATGCTGCTGGAGCACCACAACTGCCAGAGATATGCATCACTGTATTAACCTCTAGCACATTTGAATGTACATTTTATATAGAATATGTATAGTGATACTTACTTTTAGATACCTCAAAGTATTAGGCTAATGCCTAAAAACACTCTTTACAATTCATTACTGTTTTGAAACCCAGTAGAGCTACCACTATTATCACAGTATCACAGTATCACAGTATGCTAGAGATTGGAAGGGACCTCGAAAGATCATCTAGTCCAATCCCCCTGCCGGAGCAGGAACACCTAGATAATGTTACACAGGAATGTGTCCAGGCGGGTTTTGAATGTCTCCAGGGAAGGAGACTCCACAACCTCCCTGGGCAGCCTGTTCCAGTGTTCCGTCACTCTCACCGAGAAAAAGTTTCTTCTCAAGTTTAAGTGGAACCTCTTGTGTTCCAATTTGTACCCATTACCCCTAGTCCTATCATTGTTTGCCACTGAGTAGAGCCTGGCTCCATCCTCGTGACACTCCCCCTTTATATATTTATAGACACTAATAAGGTCACCCCTCAGTCTCCTCTTCTCCAAACTATAGAGACCCAGCTCCCTCAGTCTTTCCTCATAAGGGAGATGCTCCACTCCCTTAATCATCTTAGTTGCCCTGCGCTGGACTCTCTCCAGCAGCTCCCTGTCCTTCTTGAACTGAGGGGCCCAGAACTGGACACAATATTCCAGATGGGGTCTCACCAGGGCAGAGTAGAGGGGAAGGAGGACCTCTCTCGACCTACTAACCACCACCCTTCTAATACACCCCAGGATGCCATTGGCCTTCTTAGCCACAAGGGCACAGTGTTGGCTCATGGTCATCCTGTCGTTAGGACCCCCAGGTCCCTCTCCCCTACACTGCTCTCTAACAGGTCGTTTCCCAACCTATACTGGAACCTGGGGTTGTTCCTGCCCAGATGCAGGACTCTACACTTTCCCTTGTTATATTTCATCCAGTTATTCCCTGCCCAACTCTCCAGCCTGTCCAGGTCTCGCTGGATGGCAGCACAGCCTTCTGGCGTGTCAGCCACTCCTCCCAGCTTAGTGTCATCAGCAAACTTGCTGATAGTACACTCAATTCCCTCATCTAAATCGTTGATGAATATATTAAATAATACCGGTCCCAGTACTGATCCTTGAGGCACTCCACTAGTTACAGGCCTCCAACTAGAGTCCGCCCCATAGACTACAACTCTCTGGCTTCTCTCCTTCAGCCAGTTCGCAGTCCACCTCACTACCTGATCATCCAGTCCACACTTCCTCAATTTAGCCGTGAGGATGCTGTGGGAGACTATGTCAAATGCTTTGCTGAAGTCAAGGTAGACCACATCCACCGCTCTGCCATCATCCATCCACTGTGTTATTTCCTCATAAAAGGCTAAGAGATTGGTCAAACATGATTTCCCCCTGGTGAAACCATGTTGACTGCCCCTCATAACCCTCTTATCCTTGATGTGCCTTAAGATGGCACCAAGGACAAGGTGTTCCATCACTTTCCCAGGGATGGAGGTGAGGCTGACCGGTCTATAGTTACCCGGGTCCTCCTTCTTGCCCTTTTTGAAGACCGGAGTGACATTCGCTTTCCTCCAGTCCTCAGGCACCTCTCCCATCTCCCAAGACTTGGTAAAGATGATGGAGAGTGGTCTAGCAATGACTTCCGCCAGTTCCCTCAGCACCCGCGGGTGCATTGGACCCATGGATTTATGGATGTCCAGATTGCTCAACTGATCTCTAACCCATTCCTCATCGACTAAGGCAAGTCGCTCCGTCGACCTGACTTCATCTAAGGTCTCAGGGGTACAGAGCTCTTCAGGACTGCCTGCAGCAGAGTAGACAGAGACAAAGAAGGCATTCAGTAACTCTGCCATCTCTGCATCTTCTGTCACCAGGGCACCCATCCCGTTCATCAGTGGGCCTACATTGCCTCTGGTGTTAGTTTTGTCTGCCATATATTTGAAAAAGCTCTTTTTGCTGTCCTTGACCCTTCTTGCCAGGTTTAATTCTAAGGAGGCCTTAGTCCTCCTAGCTGCCATCCTACATCCTCTAGCAGCAGCCTTATATTCCTCCCAAGTGGCCAGCCCCTCCTTCCATGACCTGTAAACTCTCCTCTTCCACTTGAGCATACCCAGCAATTTCCTATTTAGCCACACAGGTCTCTTGGCCCTCTTCCTTGACTTCCTACGTGTCGGGATGCTCCGATCTTGAGCACGGAAAAAGCAGTCCTTGAATGTCAACCAACTATCTTGGGCTCCTTTACCTTCAAGCAGCCTTGCCCATGGGATTTCCCCTAGCAATTGCTTGAAAAGGCCAAAGTTTGCCCTGCTAAAGTCCAGGGTTGCAATTCTACTTGCTATTCTACTAGTCCTCCCACACAAGATCCTGAATTCCACCATCTCGTGGTCGCTGCAACCAAGGCAGCCCTCAACCCTTACTGCTTCAACCAGGCCCTCCTTGTTAGTGAGGATGAGATCCAGCAGCGCTCCTCTCCTGGTCGGCTCATCCACCATTTGCAGGAGGAAGTTATCATCCATACACTGGAGGAACCTCCTGGACTGGGCTGCCGAGTGGTCCTTCCAGCAAACATCAGGGAAGTTAGTGCAGTGGTATTAATAATTCAAAGTTTCACTGACATCACAAACTTCATATGAACTTTTTGAAAGGGCACATCTTTGGAGGTAGTCAGCATTGTCCTACAGTAAAACTTAATCTCTGTGTTTTGTGGGTGTTTGTAACAGCAAACTGCCATCCTTGATGGATATTTCTTGGGGGATTCTGGCTTTTTCTTTCCCTAAATAACATGAGTTACCCATTTTGCAGTGATGGGGCAGGTCTTGATATTGGTCCAGCACGGTATTGCAGTGGTGATGTTGACACATCCTGTACGAGAACTCCTGCCACTTAAGATGCATCCAAGTATATAATCCTGTTGATGTCAATTTAAACTATTGTCTTGGTGACAAACAAATATCTAAAATTAAGAGCTTGTGATATAGCTGGAAGAGTTTCTCTAATGTCAGCTATGCAAGAAAGCCCTCAAGAAGGCAACTGGGAGAAATAAGACACTAGACTGCATGCTGTCTCACTGATGTTAGGATTTAAGGTCTCGCCTGTAGTTAAACACACACCTTATCAGCAAAGTATATGTTTGATAACACCTTATGAAAGAGGTATGAGTTATTCTGTGCTTAAAAAAAATCAGTCGATGAGAATCTTTATGGTATGATAGGATCTGTCATCTTTGCTAATGTGCAAGCTTAGCCTCTGCTCCTTTCATTTCATGGTTCCAAATTCCAGTCCCTACGTCTGATGTGCAGAACAGAAAAGGTTTTGACCAGAGTAACCAAAGGGAATGAAACTGAAAGGCAAAGGCAGGAACTGGAAACTTAATCACAAGCAATGGTTCCTTCTGAAATTTGCTTAAAGACGAGAAAGTTGGGGCTGTTTAGCCTGGAGAAGAGAAGGCTGTGTGGAGACCTCATAGCAGCCTTCCAGTATCTGAAGGGGGGCTATAGGGGTGGTGGGGGAGGACCCTTCATTAGGGACTGTAGTGACAGGACAAGGGGTAACTTAAAACTTAAACAGGGGGGATTTTGATTGGATATAAGGAGGAAATTCTTTATTGTTAGGGTGGTGAGGCACTGGAATGGGTTGCCCAGGGAGGTTGTGAATGCTCCACCCCTGGCAGTGTTCAAGGCCAGGTTGGATGAAGCCTTGGGTGACATGGTTTAGTGTGAGGTGTCCCTGCCCATGGCAGGGGGGTTGGAACTAGATGATCTTAAGGTCCTTTCCAACCCTAACTATTGTATGATTCTGTGATTCTATAGTCAAAGCATGACCTATAAAATGAGGTTCACAAAATGTAGGACAGAACTCAACTCTGCGAGGAAGATTCCTAATAGAAGTACATGAAGTATAGGAGGATAAAGCCAAATGCTATGTCACTGGTAATGGTTAAAACTTGGGAGAACCCTGTCTTCTGAAATACAAATTATAACTTGCATATCTCTGATAACTGCATTTTTTCTGGTTGGGTTTTTTGCATGCCTAAAACTCTTCATAATCAACAACATTATTGACAGGTATATCACAGAGGGACTACACACAGTACTACGATCATATCTCTAAGCAGCATGAGGAGATCTGTAGATCAATACAGGAATTTTTCAAGAAACACATACAGTATAAGTTCCTGGATGAAGACTGTAAGTACCTTAAGGCTTCAGTTAACAAGGGGAGTATGGGGGAGGGAAAGAGGATGTTTGTGAAGGTTTTTGAATACTTGTTGCATGCGTAGTTACAAAGACTTAGAAATGAAGGGTCTGCCTCTTTGAAGTGCTTTTGCAAGGTGCTGGGAGGTTTGAAATGGAAAGGGCTCGGAGAGCAAGCTCCTTAAAAACAAGATCTGTTCTCTTGTCCCTGTGGTGTACTGAGCCAAGCTTGTTTCCTCCACAGCACATTGAGTTACAATGTGCTAAATTCCAATTTACTGCTGGAGATCAGTGTTAAAATGGGTACATTTTGATAAATAACAGCATCCCCAATATTTTAAGTCTGCGTATATGCATCTGTTTCTTCCTACCTATTGCTTTCACAGGGCTTGGTTCTTTTTAACCTGGGAGAGTCTTATAGCTCTGGTGGCTAGAGCATGCAGAGCAATGTAGTATTTGAATGACTATAGAACTGGGGACAAAAGAAGGAATAGGCTAAAGCTTTTCAGGAAGACAACAGATGAGTGAAAGATCCTCTCAGAAGGCATAAATGACATTTTTCTTTTTAAGGCTTTTCCCGTTATACTTATTTTTAATTAGGAAAAGATAAACCTGAGAAGTGAGGCAGGAAATGCTGAACAGAAGGCATTCAGCAGTAAAAAGAATACTGTTTATACAGATGTTGCCAGATGTTTGCTGCTAAATTTCTAATGTATTCATCAAAGAAAGGATTAGTAAGCTTCTTTTCAAGAAGTTACAGTAATTTCTCCTAGAATATTGATGCGCACAGCAGTTCAGCTGCTGAAACTTTTGAATAAAGGCTGTGGTATTTGATACACTGAAGCAGCCCAAGTAAATTGTCTCGTTCTTAAATGTGGAGTCCTTTGCAAATTATATTGGAAATAGTTTCATTGCATGGTTAAGTGAGAATTGGATAGTGTTCTGTTGTGCTGGGTGATCAGTAGTGGTGAAAAATACAGTGGAGAAATGGCATGGACCAAACCTCAGCTTAATAAGATAAATAAACATAAGAACTGGTTGTATTTTTGTATTGTCTTCTATAAAGGTTTGAAAACTCAGCCTTTAGGTAAGTTTTGAACATGGTTAACTATTTTGCTGAGCCACCAGAGCAATCAGCTAGACCTGCCTGACATTCTGAAAAGACACTTTCTAATGCCTCTGTTATATTACAATTCTTAATCATTTGGCTTTGCAGGGTTCCTTTATTTCAGTCCCAAGAAGATCTCAAGGATTCCATCTTGGAGAAGACTAGTAATCTGGAAATCAGTAGATTAATTTAATAGGTCCATATCCCTCATGTTTGGAAGATCTGTCGTATAGATCTGACATTGTGATTGCTGTCTTTTAATTTTCCTCTGTGTTCCAACATAATTTTAGCTGGTATGTCATCAACTGCTAGATAAGAATTCAGGGCACTATTTTAGGAAATTGATGCCTAGATTTAGGCTCTGAAACTGAAAGGTCTGAACTGTCATCTTACGTAAAGGATAGAAAACTATGCCATCGAGTTACCTCTGAGTTAAGGAGGTTTCAGGGTGACCTTCTGGGATGAGGTTTGTTAACCTTTTGTTTGTAGGCCCTAAATGCTGGTGACTTGTCCAGCTGCAGAGAAATGCCATACAGAAAATGGTTTCTATTTGTTTGTGGTTTGGTTTGGGTTTTTTTTACCACCTTTCATTCATCCCCCGTCATCTCCGTTGCTCCACCGTCTGGTAGCATATGTGTTGTTAACAGTAAAAATCTGGGTTTGCTTGTTTGTTTGCTTCTGAAGGCAAGGTATTATAGCTTTTTTTCCTGACTTCTTGTTTTGTTGGGGATTGTGATGCTGTTTGCTCTGCTTTTTCCAGTTGGTCTGGTAGCATGTCCAGATGGAAGAGTTGAGTCAGAGCAGCTGAAGCATTGCAGAGTCAGAGCAGTAGGATAACAGATGGGTGAATGCTTTATAAATAGTTCTAAATGATGTTAGAATCTTCTAAATACTTTTCATAAGAGCTCAGTAAGAACAGTGTTCTGGAGGTATCGATACTGTAGAATTGAGCCTTGGCTTACCCTCCATTTTGAGCTATTGCTGGTAAAGTTCTTCTACAGTCTCGCTGCCTCCTGACACTCCTGCTCTGAGGTGGTCCCTAAGAAAAGGGAACAGTTCAGGTTTTCTCTGTTCAGTGTTTGTGAGTGTCCTGAACTGGTCACCAGTGTGCAGTCGGTCTTAACGGGGATGTAAATCCTGCTAAATGCCATTAGTCTCAATGATTGCCATAGATTTGCTTCAAGCTGACAGGTATCGTTTGATAATAAAGCTCAAATGTAAGAGTTCCATTAATGGGATATGACTACTGAGAGTACTTGGTACAGGCAACATGTTCAGTTGAACAGTTCGGAGAAGAAATCTAGGGTTGCTGAGCTCCTTTTTGTGTTGATGGCTTAGGCGCTCAGGGCTTGTCTTCTCAAGGAAATACAGCTCTTTATCCCAGAGTGACGTTTTAATGTGACGTAACTGAGCAAAGAGCTGTGTGGATTTTTAGGCTAGGTGGGCAAAACCACTTATGTGACTGGTTGAGTTTTGGTTTGCCCTTAGCCCAGCCAACTTTACATGAAATGTTAGATTAAGTTGCTGAGTAGCTTTGCTCATGTGATCAATCGCATTGATGTGATCAGTCAACATCCCTGATGCTGACGGCAGCTTGCTGAGTAGTCATTTACGCTGAAGTGTTCTTCAGTCATATCCTGAATTTAGTTTATCCAGCATGTATTGGGAAATCTCTTAGCTGAAATATTCCTTTTCTTATTAGTGAAGGAAGTGACAGTATAACGTCTGTCTGAAATTTTTCCAAATCTGGCTTTTCTTTCTTTCTTTCTGCTAAACTGATACAAGTGCATGTAGTCATGCCTGAATGCTTATCTGTCGGCTTCCCTAGCTGAATAAACATACAGAACAGAACCCATGGTCAAAGATTCAGGCTTAATTCAGTCAAGGGGAAGGACAACAATGGAGCTACCCAAGGCAGCTTTGCGTTGATCGCTGAGTAGCAAAGGTTCTTTTTGAAAGAGTTGTTGACAATCAGTAGGTGTGCTGTATCTGCTCTGGGTTACAGTAAACAGCCATTTCACTGCCACCTCCTCCTCAACACGCCCACTGCCCCCGTTGTTCCTACAACCTGTTTGTTTTGTTATTTGCTGCAGTCCTAATCTTTGTCAGGCATGAACTTTCCCCTGTTAAATGTTGGTGCGATGTCTGCCACAGTGAAGTTAATCCTTCCTGAAGTTTCTCAGTTCTGTTGTAAACCAAACTGCAGTAATGTCAAAGATAAACTTCTTCCTGGGCTAAGAGTTTATCAAGTGTTCTTTGTTGGGGGAAAAACCCAACAGACAAAGCCATTATTAAATGGAAAAACCTCTCAGTGCATTAACTGTGGTTACTGAAATGTTTCAACTCCCTCTTGGAGATGAACCTAATTTTGGCTTGCAGTTCCTCAGGCATGTTGACTTTGCAGATTGTGCTTTGTACACAAGTATCCAGTAAGATTTAGGTGCCTTCTGTGAAATTATATATCCTAATCTTAACTTTTTCTTTTTTTTCTCCTTTTCAGTTGTGTTTGATGTGTACAGAGACAGCAGGGTAAGTGAACTTTATTCTGTGGAAAGCTTTCCTGAAATGCTACAGAGATGAAGCAAACAATAGCTTCATCTTCCTACAAGTGGTCCTTGGGGGGAAAAAAAAATAGTTTAAAACCCAAGAAAACAAAGGAAAAAAAACCCACCCCAAACAAACCCCTAAGCAAACCTCCCCCAAAAAACCCAGAGTACTTGATGTTTTCATTCTGTTCCCCGGGTCTCTTTCTATGTTGAGAGACTGTCTGCAGTAGGATGATAATAAGATTAGGGGTGTAAATATGTCTTTGCCAGTGATGCAATTGTTTAGTAAATACCTTCTGGAGAAGCAGCCTGTCTAAAAGTAACTTTGCTTCAGCTTCAGTTCTCTCAGCTCTGTGGATCTACTGGAGGCAATTTAGTCTTCATTATGACACAGAGTCTTTGCTGAAATCATTTACAATAGAATAGACTGAGATGAAAGGAACCTAGAGTGATCCTCTAGTCCAACTGTCTGGCCAATTCAGGGCTGACCAAATACTAAAGCATGTTAAGGACATTGTCCACAGGCTTGAGGCATTTGAAGTACTTCATTAATATTGTACAACATTACTAAATTGCTTTAGCGAAGCACTACCTTTTGCTATGGTTCCCTCTGCTTAGCGTTTACTCTTGGTGCTTCTGATGGAAATTTATCTGAACATTCAGCTAGAATGGCTGTGATATTTAGAAAAAAGAGAAGGTGGGGGTGATATTTTGCTCACTAAAAAAAATTTAGGGGATTATTACAAAAAAATTATTCCTTCTGGTGCACCACTTCCGTCCCCCCAGGATGTTTTTCCCTGTAGTATCTGAACTCATTGGAACTAATCATTAATATTTCTTCAGATTATCCCTGTGAGGTTGGAAAATGGTAACTTGTATTTGATATGTGGAAATCTAGGGTACAAAGGGATAGATGTTTAAAGAGTATATATGAATGTAGCACATGTGAGAGAAATGGAAGCTAATATTTTCTTTTCAAACTGCTCCAGCTGTGGTTTTGAGTGTGCAGCAGATCAGAACCCCAAACATCTGGATAATGATGGCATGGGGAGAAATGTCCTGTCTGAACTTCAGGTGCCAAGATCAGAGTTAGTCACCTTGACCTTTCCTAGTGATACGGAGCCCCTTTGTCTCACTAGTAACAATGGAGAGAAATAGGTCGAATGAACTGTGCTTGAAAGGCACACATGTATTGTTCTAAAAGCAACCACAACCAAAAATGCATTATGTAGCTTTAAATATCAAAACTAGATTCTGGGAATCACAGCCTGATTTGGGAAATCACATTAATGCACAAAAAGTAAGTGGTTTAGCTTAAAGTTTTTCCAAATCCTAAACCAGAAATGTGAAACAAATTGCTGTATGCTTTTTGCTCTATACATTTATAAGTCTCACTGTTTGACTTGTTTAGAGTTACAGGATAGGAGAAGGTCTTTATTTCTGTTGAGCTGGGAGTGTCTGTAGTAAGTCTGGGTTCTGACTTTGAATGTAGCTCAAGTATTTTGTAATTGTGTAATAGTAAATCATGCAAAACAGAAACTAAACAGGCACGTGTGTCATGTGAAAAACAACTGTTGTGCTGTCACTCAGCATGATTTTTATAACATGGGTACCTAAAATCAGGCTATGGGCTAAAATCAGCAGTGCTGCATGATAATGAAAAACACCTGCCCAAGCTCAGGACATCAGGCTTGAGTGTGCTGTTAGGCAAACTGAGGAGCAGCGTTTCAGCTTTGAACCAGCTTCTGTCATTGAGTACTCTGCCTCCCACCTGAGGCAGTAAAACAGATTATTTAAGTAAAAGGTTTCAGCCTGCGTGATCTCAAATGAGCAGTGTTCCTTCATCTGTCAAGATAAAATGTATGTTAGTAGATACCTAGGTGCCTTCTATCCTGAGGTCTTGTAAACTGCCAGATAGCCCTTTGTGTGTCAGATCCTCTTTTCACGCACACTTTTGTGATTTGTAACTGTATTATTCATTGTGCCCTTTGTATGTGAGTTACAGGCAGCAAAAACAATATTGAGTGTTGCCGAGTGTGATTAATTTCCAGAGCCCAGGCTCCTCGTCAGGCTGGTTGCACAGCAACCTCACCTACAGAATGAGAGCTATGTCCAGTGTCTGCTTATTTTAAATTCTTTCAACTCTAAATATTCAGCTTGAAGATGCTTGTTCTTTGATATGGTTGTGAATGAGAGCAACCCCTTCCCCATGCTTGCTTTAGTTACTGGAGAGACTGTACAGAATAGGGTGCCACAGGTCTTGCTTATTGAGTTAGAGGGTGGAATAGAATCAGCCGTGGCTTGATTGAGAACAAGCTTTTATACGTCCGCCTTTCCTGTCCCTCTTCACTGAGCTCATCTGAGCTAGTGCCGGACTTTGCAAACAAGTCATCTTTTAAGGAAGAAACACTGTCACACAGTCTTCCAAGCTGGATGATCTGGAGACCTAGTCCTGAAGAGACTGTGTTGCAGGACTGATAGCCTGTTTTCATTTGGATCCACTTTGGTTTTGGGAGGATTTTTTTGCTGTTGGGATTTCACAGTCATTGTGCAACAGCTGACAGGTCTGAGAATCAGCTCTGCTGCTGCTTTATCTCCCAGGTGTTAACAGCTTCTAACCATATTCAAGACAAGTCACTGTGGTAAGACAAGGAAATGCAATGAGTGGTTCCAGACCATGACCAGCTCACAGCTGCTCTTGTAAATGGGCCAACTACTGTTTGTGCCTCTGCCTTGTGAGCATTATCACTGTGCATGAAGGTGCAGCTGGAGGGAGGGAGATGTAACAGTTCAGTTTGCATTTTATCTTTTAACTTCCTTTAAACAGTCTTTGTCAAGGCACTTCCTTTCGGCAGCATGCTTAATGCTTTAGTAAAACAAAGTGTGGAGCTGACGTCATGGGGTAAATCTATTGGCTCCTGGTTTAAGATGAGAAGAAAAATCTGATGTAACGCAGGTTGGGTATTTTTTACCCTCCAGATATGCACATCATTGCCTTCCTGGCTTGTTAATTTCTGTGCTCTCTTTGACAAAGATTACTAGTACCAGATAAATAGCTTTACTTTAGATGCACAGTGCAAGTCGTCTGAAACTACATTTAAATTGTGACTTTGCGTGTAAGACTTGAAAGAGCATTTAATCTTAGGACAGTTTGGTTACTGAACCAGGTTTATATATGCTCCCTTTAATGAGCCCTGAAAAGCGATACTTAGCTTGTTTTGCCATTTTTCATCAAATTTGCAGCTACCAAAGCTCAGTTCAGATTTAAGACCATCCCATGGAACCAGTTGGGGCTGTAGTTGGTGTACTGCTGGCTGCAAGGAGGGAGAAATACTGTTGGGTGCTCACGAAAACCAGGGGTTGCTTTCAGTAGTTTCAAAGCCAGTTCTCATTTCTTTCCAGGGTATATTTCTTTAGAGAAATGATCTTAGATTCCTATGAAAAAGCTGTTTCATGTATTTGGGCTGAGGAGGAGTCTCTGCAAAAGCCTGTTGTAGGGAAGTCCTTCATTAAGGATAAACATTTCTGATGCAAGGAGAGATTCTCTGAACTGCTGAACTAACTTTGCCAGCCGTTGTCTCTGTATGTGATTAAATTGGTTCATTAGCTTGTTTTTCTAATGTGGTAGAATAAATCTAACATTCCAGATTCCTGCTCCTGCTGCCTTGGAGCTAACAAGATGTCCCCATTAGCAAAAGTAAAACATCACTTATAATGAGAATTTGTGACTGTGTTTTGAAGAGGAACTGAGATGGAGATGGTAGCAGGGCTTGCCTCTGCTCTCTGCACCCATGGTGTCAATATTAGTGCAGAGGTGTTGCAACTTAGCCACATGGATCTGTGCCTCTTCACTCTTCTGAAGCATGTAAGAAACCACTCAGGTGTTCCTGCAATGCAGAGTTTCTCTTGTAGCTGTTGGGTTTCAGTACTGCTCCTGTGGTGCATTGGCTTCTTAAAATCTGCTCTGTGTGAGATGTACCCCATGGATCTGTCCTGAAAGGGAGAGACCTGTGAAAGCTCAGTGGTTGGGGTGCTGCCTCAGTTCCAGTTACAAGTAAATATCACTGGTTTTTCTGTGGTGGGACTCTCTGCAGCCGCATGAGTAGTTCCCTGTGGATTGTAACACACCAGCCAGTGTTTCTGTTCTGTATCACGTGGGTTTCCATGCTTTTCCTATTCTATAGTGCCTGTGGGGGTGATTTAGGTAGTGTGGGTGGGAGAAGTCTGCATGTGACTCCATGTAATGACTGTATTAAAAATGCCTTTTAGTTAGTCTTTATTTGCCTGTATTTGTGACTGAAGGCTTCAAAAGCATCTTTGTAAGTTAGAAAACAGATGGCTGTAGTGTAAATCATTGAAGATACTTGTTTGTATCAAGATCTTTTAAAGAAAGAACATCCTTCAGGAATGAGGGGAAGAAAGAGAAAGTCAAATAAGTTTTAGTAGCTACACAGTCTTCAGGTTTGGTTTCCCGTTCCAGTTGATCTTTACTGAACGCAATAAAACCCCTCAGTCCTGCTTCTGCTACAGCAACCTTTTTCTTCCATATTTGATAGATCTGATTTCTTCCAGATGTAATACTTGTTTTGCAAATTCTTACTAGCAGTTGTAGTCATGTCATTTTAATTTATTACAATGTTTTGCTTTATTAGGATAGAATATACTTCCTTGGATAAGAAAAAATGGCCATGTGTTGAGGGTTGTATCTTGAGATGACAAGGAATGCAAAATCTTGCTCCCCTGCAGATGTCTGTTACCTTTAACATGTTTTGTTAGTCTCTGCTTTTATTTTCAGTTGTAAACCAGGAATGCTGTTGTGCATAATACTAGAAACTGTTTGGGACACAAATGTGTTAAAGATGAGGCAGGAGAAACTAGTCTGGACTCCTAGTAATGGCTGTATTAAAAATGCTTCTTAGTTATTCTTTATCTATATCTCTGCAGCACTTTTCAGCTTTCATGATCTCTACTAGCATTTTGTAGACCCTGCTCTGTATTTGTATAGTCCTTTCTAAAACAAAGAATAGCAGTTCTTGTAGTCTGCTGAATGTACAGCATTGTTGAGGTAGCTTTTGATGGAAAGCAAAATCCCTGTTTGGCTGGGTTGGTTGGTTGGTTGTTTCCATTCCTTGTTCATGCTGTCAGAGGGGGACCGTGATTAGATAGAACATCCATGTGAAATTTCATGTGAAAGCACTGTGCATAGAACTGATTTCAGTTTGAGCTTTGTTTGATCTTCTGTTTAAACAAATAAATGAATAAGTCATAGCTTGATGAATTTTAAAACTGCATCTAATATAAAGGATGTTATTTTAATGGTGATTTCAATGTTGACATCTTTTTACCTAAAGACCAAACGTACTACAGTAATATCAGTATGTGTATTCTGATTTGCTTGTTTGTTTTAATTCTGTAGCTTGTTTTAATGTTTCTGTTCCATTGCAGGGTAAGATTTGGTTAATAGATTTTAACCCATTTGGTGAAGTAACAGACTCCCTGCTGTTTACATGGGAAGAACTGACCTCGGGGAAAAACTTGAAAGGAGACCAGGGTGAAGGGGAAGCAACAGAACAGGTACAGCCCTGTGATGAGGGAGGGCTAACATCCAACAGGCGTTATGGACTTCATTTGTTCTCTGTCTTTCCAATAATCAATTTGTGATGCAAATTCCATTGAAGTAAATAGTTCTTAACTCATGAAATGTAAACTCTTTATAAGTAGAATCTACTTTATTAGATGGTAGTTAATCTCCACAAGCGTCACATCCTGGTTTTAGGTGCCTGCAAGGGAAGTTTTAGTTCAAACAGTCCAAGCCCATCTTGTACCTTTGACCACACTGTGGGGAAGATGCACTGGAAATTGCTTTTATACAGTTTTCATGCGTTCTTTTCAATTTCTCTTAAAATCTGTTACTTTTCTATTTAATCACTTAAAGTTCAGCTTTGTTTCCTATATCTGTCATACATTTTCCCAGAGCTCCAGATTTATGTCTGGGGATAGACAAAAAGAAGATTAACTTTTGTCTCTTCCTCATATCGAATACCCTTAGGTAAGCCTTGTCCTCTGGTTGAACTCCCTGGACTTGCAGAGCAGGGATTTTCTATCCCTCTTCCAAGCTGCATTGCCACCGTAGAAACAAATAACTTCCTGTTAATACAGAGAGGGAGGAATAGTCTTCATTTATTTGTACTCCAGCTTTTTTCTCACTGCGTGCTTGAGACCATCTTAACGAGTCCTTGAACAGCTGGATAGAAGATATGAAGTAGCATGTTACTTTATCTTGGGAAACGCTTGGCAGTTGTCAGAGGAGAGATGCTAGTCAGATAGTGTGAGCTTTTCTTCATCTTCTGTCTGTTAAACTGCATTAGAAGTAACTGGAATGACAAGCTTTATTGAGCTGATTTTAACATTGGAGCTTTGCTTTAGTTCTGTCACCATTTTCGTAACACCTTGAAAGGGAAATACATCACTCTTAATGCTATTTTCTTGTAGTTTCACCACTTGAAGACCCATTCAGTGAACCTTTCTGCCAAAAGCTATGTCTTCTTTGTTAAAACACACTCTCAGTTCTTGAGCTGTTTGTGAAATACCCGATTTTTGTTTTGAGGATTCTCTATTTCTTAGTGCCCCAGAGTTTTCTCTGGTGTAAGTCTGGATGAAAACTAGAATGACTTGTCTTCATGCTTAAGCTTACATCTGATCAGAGAGTCTGGTGTGAAGTTACTGAACTTCTGTCCTTAAAATGAAGCTGCTTATTGCCATACAGTGGGTGATAGCATTGCATGTCAGTGTCTTAGACTGAAACGTATATCAAGTTACCCAAAACCTGTTGCTATAATTGAGCATTTAGAGATATTTTTAGATAGTTTATAGATGTGCTTTTTCCTTCAGTAAGTAAATTGATTGGAAGTCTTAGGTCTTGATTTCAGAAAGGTTATATTTGCAAACACAGCTTTAAGCAAGGAACCAGTGAAGACAAGTTTAGGGATTCTGTTGTAATGATTTCTTTTATCCACATATTTATGTAGATACTACTGTCTGAAGTTTCTCATAGTTCCATTATTACAGCACTGTTATAAGCATATGTATATTAACTGCAGTAATAATTGATACATTGTAGAAATTTTAAAGTGAAGGAATAAATGCCTTCACTTACTAACATTTGACTTTTGCTCTTAAAGGGGCAGTTTTTAATATAAAAACTATAGTTCTTAGCACAGGTTTAGTCGAGTGAATGCCAGATAAACTTGTTGGCAAAGTGATTCCATCTCATGGAGGAGTTCAGGAAACACTGCTAGCTTTATTCACATGCACTGTTCTTGTCTTACCCAATATGTTTTCCAAAGGACTCTCCAGTTTTCCGTTGTACAAACAGTAAAGTTACTGTCCAGCCTAGTCCGTACCTGAGTTACCGGCTGCCAAAAGACTTTGTGGACCTTTCTACAGGAGAGGATGTTCACAAATTAATTGACTTTCTTAAACTGGTAAGAAGTAGTAAAAAACTTTTAATTCATCTTTGTGAAATAGCAACATCAAAGTGCCTGGAATTGTGCTTTTGTAATTAATATAGGTTACATAGTAACAGCAGAAGTATTATATGAAGCCATTGTACAATGTGTTGTTGGATTGATTTTTATGAAGTGATGAAGAGCAAACCTTCATACTGAGCTTGCTTCAGATAATTAATTTTATCTTCATGGGAGGCAATGAATGCAGTTTGACAAATCTTACTGAAGAAACTGACTTTTCTTTCTGATTTAAATGTAAATACAAATGTAGCATAAATAGAAATGTACTTTTTGAATGGCTGAAGCTAATGCTTTTAAGAGCTTCTTTGAAAGCTGGAAGATAAGTATACTAAGAAAAAAACTGAAACAGTTTTTACTGTTTAGTATACTACTGTTTAGTATACTGTTTAGTATACTAAAAAAACCCTGAAAAGTAGAATTTCTCTATTCCTTTGATGAACAGTGACATGAAAACATGCCATCTGTTTAAGCTAGGGTAGGGAGGGGAAGTTGCCTTCATCTTGACCACTGACTTTTACCACCACCATCATGTTTTATGGTTGTTGTATGTTCTGTTGGTTAACATACAGGGCAAATCTTCTTACTGGAAATAAAATGTTATAGCTTTGGATGGGGGAGAGGGCTGATGTTGCTTTGTTCCATTCGAAAAATGGCTTAGAAATGCATTCATTGTCCAAGATGCACTGTATCTGAAAACACTTGTCATGATTTGTTAGTGCTCTTATTGCAGATAACTGTGTCCTAACATTATGCACTGTCCTGTTCTGTTGACAGAAAAGAAATCAGCAAGATGATGACTGAAGTATCAAGAAGCATTACATTGAATTACAAGCAAGAAAAGGGGCAAAAGCTATAAATAGCATAACTATTAAGCTATTGATTTAAAGAAAACCTGATTTTTATAGTGAATGAAAGCACCAAAGAGCTGTTCATCCTGCATGTCTGTTGGTTTATATTAAAAGTCTTTGTCAGGGAAACATGAAATTACAGGGTGAGTTCTCACTGGATTCCAGGTTAAATGCAATTATACCATGGTGTAAGCAAGCAGCAATCTGAGTACAACAGAACAACTGTTTTCCTATCTCATAATGTGAAGATTGATGCTGTTAAAGTGTGCCGTTGGACTCTTTAGTGATAAATACAACAACATTTAATGCTTGTGCAGTTAAAACATCAAGCATCCTCTGTATTTAGGCACAGCCTTGCTTAAAATATTGCAGTCACAAGGAAAGAAAGGAATGTATGGGTTTTCTTTCTGTAATAAGCTTTTAAAATTGTAAATTGACTTTGTTTTGGGAGCGCTTCTCATCCTTCCTTTATGTAACAAAAAGTGGAGAAGGCGTTTTTTTTTCATGGCTATGAAGGCTAATTCTTCATTTTGGAGAGCAGCTATAGTAGGGTAGTTAAAGTGTCAAAGTTTTGCATTTCAGGAATTTGAAATTCTGAATGCATTTCAAGTAAATAATATTTTCACAATAGCTAAAGTTATGGACTTTGTTAAACTTCACCATATTGTATTTCATTTTCGCAGTAAAGCTTTCTTGAATTAACATTATTTCGTACTAGACATCATCTGTGGCTTTAATATAAATAGTTAAACATAACATCAGCCTGTAATTTTATATGTGGACTAGGTCTTTTTTCTTTTGTATCACATATTTGAGTTTTTCAAGAAAATGATTATTCTTTCAGCTCTTAAAAATCTGTATTCATTTGGTGGTACTTCATGGTTTTTGTATAAAGGGAAGCTTGCTAAATTTGGGAACACAGAAGCACTTGTTACCAGTGTCTGTTACCTGGGAGGTGTAGGGAGGACAGTTTCAGGTGATGAAGCTGCCAACTTTTGGATGTAGGTGCTTGCATGGCCTTAGTAATCTGTTAACAGTGTGCACAATTCCTGTTGAAACGAAAGGACATTTGGAAGTGCTCATAGCACCTGGAAACTGGTTTCTATTTCAAACCAGTTATGTGATACCTTCTGTGTGTATATAAAGCTGTTCATGTTTCTTTGTCTTGCTTTTGCTGTCAAATTGATACGGTGCTTGGTTGCAGTCTGTTCATAGATGTTAAATCTGAGCTTAGATGTTGAACTATTACTGTCTTTATCTTTAGTTTTGAACGAATACTTACTCTTGTTAAAGATTATACAGATAAAGAATCCAGTTCTACCAAAGACATTGATGAAACATCACACATTAGAGCTCCTGGAGTCAGAATACTGCCTGATCTACCCCTACCCTGGAAGCGATGGAGTCACCTCTCAGTAGCTTTTAGGACACAGGTTATCATTAACTCAGAGTTGGGCTATAACTTCAGGACTTTGGATGCATTTTTCTCACCGTTATCAGAGGGTTTGTTCTCTAAATCAGGTGGGAACTTCAAAACCTAAAAAAAATCAACAAAGTTTTCTTTTTTTCTTTTAACATTGCTAGCCATAACTTAAACTACTGTGATGATCTCTGTGATGAGATCATCACAGTAGTGATGACAGAGCGAGTGAACAAGTTGCCTGACTGGGTTTAAGCCACGACAGTTCTTAATACAGATAACACCCTGGAATTTCCAGCAAGCTCATAAATGCTTCTGAACTTACAGGTTATTGTCTTTAGACAGTACTGAATCTCGGTTTAAAACTGCAAAATAGTTTCCTGTATCTTTTTCTGTGGGCTCCACTAGTTAATTTACTATTATCACAGCTTACTGTGCTGGATATTCACCACAACATATACGGTGTCAGGACCAGTTTGATGGGACCCTGTGCGCTCTAGAGTGTCCCTTTAAGTGAGTAGGCTGGAACGTTGTGTCCTTTTAATAGTTCTTTGCTTCCTGACATTTTATTTATCCTGAAAATAGCATCATCAAGAGAACTGACCACAGTCAGTACAGAGCTCTTAGCCTTGCTGGCAGCTTTCATATGTTTTCAGGAACTGCAGTCTTCTGTGGATGCTCTGCATTTATAGTTGAGCTCTTCTAGGATAAGTGATGGTGGAATCAGACACTGGCCAAGCTCCTGGCTCCCTAAACAGCTTTCCTTGTTGCTAGCCTGTGCTGGTCCTCTACTTAAAGGACTACCGTAATAAAGGACCACCACCTGCTGCTCCTGTCTCCTACCTACTGCCCTCTGGCACAGCTTACTCCTCCAACCCTCATCACTTTCAACAGCTGTTTAACAAAATCAAAGACTTCTCTGTATAGTTATATGCTGGTGATGAGTGAATTCAAAGTTTGTTTTTCTCCCCTATGATTTGGGTAACAAATGACCTGTCTGAATTAATGGATTGCTCAGCCAAGCCACCAAACACTGATAATTAACTTTATTTCAGAGTTGCAAGAACTTAATGGCACTTCCTCTGGGCTTAAGTTTAATAAGGACTTGTAAAAAATAGCAGAGAAAAAATAGTAGTCCCATGTTCAGGCCATGATACAGATAAGTCCCCACTATATAAATCTCTTTTATGTAAACAGATTCCCCAGAATATCCTTACAATTTAAATAGATAGTTTATATCTACTTTGTTGCTGTCTCCAACTTCAGGTAACCAGATGTTGGGGTTTGGGTTTTTGTTACATCTGCTAGATTAAAGATTCCTCTTCTAAAAGAATTTTCATTCCATATGTCCTTTTGATCTGTGAGGATAATTAACAACCATTCCTCTTGGGGAGGTGTGGAAGCTAATGTTGATACATTAAAAATGCTTTAGATCATTTTTAAACTGAATAGTATATGACACTGTTTTAATTTTATTTCAGATCATCATAAAATTGGTTCCTGCCTGTAGGCATTATACAGAAATGGGAAAATACGAAATTCCACTTGATTCAGGTCCTTGTTCATGTGATTCAGTGATGTGATCACCATTTGCTGAGTAAGGGCTAGCTATATACTAAATATTCTTAGTTGTATGCTTAAAATGTTCTAGAAATATACTTGTAATCTCACCTGGATGACAAACATGAAGAATTAAGGGAAGGTAGCACACAGTTGTTCTATATAGATGTTAATGCATGCCAGGCTCTGAAGAACTCTGGCTGTGTTTAATGGATCGAGTGCAGTGAAGCTCAGTTCTTGGACTGCTCCTTGCTCTGCCAGGAGCACCAAAGAAGAGTCTTCACTTTTGCAGCCAATGCTTGTGATATCTAATCTCACAGATGGATAGTGGGGATCAGAATTCCTGTAACCCCCTAAGTAGTAGTTACTAACATGTACTGGCTTACTTCAGGATTTGGAAAAATGCTCCTGTACTGGGCTCCAGACTATCCATTCTCCCTTGATTCTTCTTTTTCCAGTGGTGCCCACACTAATCTGGTATTTGGGGGAATGTTAAAATTAGAATAAGATCTGAATTTTAAAACCTCCCTCTCTGTCCACTTTTCCTTCCCTCTTAGAAAAAGATGGTTTTGAGTGTTTTGTAATACCTGGAAAAAAACCTGAAAGTAGGGGGAAAATAGCCATCTCTGAGTCTCAGTAAAATGAACGTCACTTGTTGGAATCTGGTCACACTGTGTGGCTTATGGAAATCCTCATAACTGCATCTGACTTGCTTGGCTAGAAATTTCATGTTCTTATGCACTTGCTTGTTGCTGGCGTCCAGGATGCAGTGCTGCCCAGGAAGAAGGTACCCGGTGAGATTGGAGAATCATAGGATGGTTAGGGCTGGAAGGGACCTTAAAGCTCATCCAGTTCCAACTCCCTGCCATGGACAGGAACACCCTCCACTAGACCAGGTTGCTCCAAGCACCATCCAGCCTTGTCTTGAACACTGCCAGGGATGGGGCAGCCACAGCTTCTCTGGGCACCCTGTGCCAGCGTCTCAGCACCCTCATAGTGAATAATTTCTTCCTTAATGTCAATATAAATCTTCCCTCTTTCAGTTTAAAACTGCTGCCCCTTGTCCTGTTACTACAGGTCCTTACAGAGTTCTCTTCATCTTCCCAGAAGTCCCCTTTAAGTATTGAAGGGCTGCGTTAAAGTCTCCCTAGAGCCTTATTATCTCCAGGCTGAACCAGCCCAGCTCTCTCAGCCTGGCTCCAGAGCAGAGCTGCTCCAGCCCTCAGAGCATCTCCTTCCCCTGGACTTGCTCCAATAGCTCCATGTCCCATCTTGCATTGTTACCCCCAGAGCTGGACACAGGACTGCAGGGGGGTGTCAAGAGCAGAGTAAAGGGAGAGAATCCCCTCCATTGATCTGCTGGTCACGTTCTTTTGATGCGCCCCAGGCTACAGCTGACTTTTTGGGCTGCAAGTGCACACTGCCAGCTCATGTCCAATTTTTCATCCACCAGTATTCTCAATGAAGTCTGATGGAAATGGGAGGTGTTCACTGCTTGGGCATCTGTTGGGAAAGCACCCAACATGGACAGACTTGAAAAGACAAAGAGTTCATGGATTTTATTCTTTTCACAGAGGGCAGAGTTTGTATTTCAGGGGATACAGGGTGTTCTTCCAGAGTTGGCTGTTCTGGATTACAGTCACGCTGATTCAAAGTTATTAAAAATCCTAAAGTCAGAGGTGGTTGTGGAGTTGGCATTTGGTGCTCTTGAGAAAGCAGGGAGATGAGAGCAGCGGAATAAGGACTGCTTGCCACAAGGCAGCTTTGTAAGTGTGGGTATTAATGCCTGGGTCCGTCTGGGAGATGATGGGTGGGATAAATGGAGAGAGGTGTTTTTTTAATGGCCCAGCAGCAGTCTTGTGTAGGGAAAATGGCAGAGCAAGGACTTGTAAGGATCGATCAAAATGAAACTGCAGAAATTGGAAGGAAAGGCACATGATTAAGTGTGAAAAGATGAGGGGACGGAGAAAAATGATGGATGATTCAGACAAAACGGATGCATTTGATGTTTTCTTTGCCTCACTATGTCCTTTTTACAAGCAAAAAGAAAAAGGAAATGAACTAAATTATCACAATGTAGCAGAAAGATTGCACTTGGAATAGCTGTTGGTATGTAGCCAGGGATGGTATTGTGAGCAAGACTGTGATACATGTTATTGCAGGCCCTGTATTTTTCCATAACTTCATTAATGGCTGGAGCAGGGAAATAAATAGCCTGTATAGAAATCTGCACTTGTCACTGGCTTGAGAAGACACACAGGCACTTTCGAGGGCTGTATCAGAATTTAAGTGGCCATAATACATGGCAAAAATGGTCTGAAATAGCAAGGAGAAATTTGATAAAGGCGAGTGCAAAGTGCTGTAGTTAGGAGGAGAAATCAGACATTAAGTACAAAATGGGGAGAGAGCTGGCAGAGCAGCAGTACAGTGGGAGTGGATAAGTTACAGTAGAGACCATTAAATGCAAGGCGATAATAAGCTGGTGGGGGAGGAAGAAGGCAGGTGTTGTTCTGGGCTAGCAGGAGGGAGGGATGGAAGCAATGAGGGATTATTTTGTTTGATGTGGGGTTGGTGTACTGAGATGTGTCATTTTAGGCACAGCATTGCGAGAAATATGTTGGTCACTGGAGAGTGGCCAAAGATTGAATCATAGCATCAACTAGGTTGGAAAAGGCCTTTAAATCAAGTCCAACCATTACCCAGGACTGCCAAGTCCACCACTAAACCGTGTCACTGAGGGCCTCATACAATATCTGAGGTCGCAAGGGACCCATAAGGATCAGTGAGTCCAACACCGTGCTCCTCACAGGACTAACTAAAACTAAACCATATGCCTAAAAGCAGGAGGTCCAGACTCGCCTTGAATTCTGACAGGCTTGATGCTGTGACCACTTTTGGGGGGAGCTTGTTCTAGGGACCAACCACCCTCTCAGTGAAGAACCTTTTCCTAATATCCAGTCTGACCTTTCCCTGATGAAGCTTCATTCCATTTCCTCATGTCCCATCACTGGCCATCAGAGGTTGGATATCGGCACCTTGCCCTCTGCTGTCCATGAGGAAGGTGTTGACTCCAATGAAGGCAGCCCTCAGCCACCTCTTCTCCAAGCTGAAGAAGCCAAGTGTCCTGGGTTCAGCAGTAGCAGTCATTTTTCCCCTTCTTGGTAGCTGGTGTAGTGCAGTGTTTTGACTTTCAGCTCGGGAACAGAGCTGATAACAAGCGATGTTTTGGTTTGGCCAAGGACTTTGTGAGCCTCATGCTCTGCCAGGGAGGAAGGGAAGCCAGGAGGAAGCAGAGACAGGACACCTGACCCAAACTGACCAAAGAGGTATTCCATACCACAGCAAGTCATGCCCAGGATGTAACTGGGAGTTAGCCGGAAGGGCTGAGAGACTGCAGGGTTGGAGGAGGTATCGGTCGGAGCTTGGTCGGGGCTGGGGGGGCGAGTTATCGGTCGGCTGGTGCTGAGGTGTTGTATTCTCTTCCCTTGTTATTTCCTTTATCATTATTATCATTGGTGGTAGCAGTAGTGATTTGTGTTATACCTTAGTTACTAAACTGTTCTTATCTCAACCCGTGGGAGTTGCATTCTTTTTGATTCTCCTCTCCGTCCCTCCGGGAGCAGGGGGAGGGCAAGAAAGGGGGGGGAAGTGAGTGAACGAGTTACCTGACTGGGTTTAAACCACAACACCAAGTCACCTCAGCCACTCCTTGTAAGTCTTGTCCTTAAGACCTTCCACCATCTTTGTTACCCTCCTGTGCATACGCTCTCAATGTCCTTCTGACATTGAGGCACCCAAAACTGCACACGGAACTCAAGGACGGCCGCACCAGTGCAGTGTAGAGTGGGACAGTCACCTCCCTTGACCACCTAGCTATGATGCACCCAGGACATGGTTGGCCCTTTGGGCTGCCAGGGCTCACTGTTGACTCATATTCAACTTGTCAGTTATATACACTGATGAGCTGCCCCCCCTGAGTCTTCTTTAAGTGAAACAGTCCCAGCTCTCTCTGCCTTTCCTCACACGAGAGATACTGCAGTACCAGATAGATTTCTCCAAGGGGCAACCCACAGGTGGAGGAGAGCTGTGAACTCAAGAAGCTTAGAGAAAACTAATGCAGTTACGAAACATGTTGTGGTTTAAACCCAGTGGGTAACTCGGCACCATTGCAGCTGCTTGCTCACCTCCTCACCTGCATTGCCCAGCTGGGATGAGGAGGAGAATTGGAAGAATGCAAAGCACACGCACTGGGATAAGGACAGTTTAATAACTACAGTACAATATAATACTGCTTCTACTACTAATAATAATGGTAAGGGAAATAACAAAGGAAAAGAATATAGAACTAAACGGGGAAAGGGAAAAAAAAAATATTACCAGCACCTCAAAGGCCTTCCCCTGGTGGGGCCCTCACTATGACACAGGGTCCTGGCCATCCCATGTCACAGTGCTGCTTCCTGGCAATGCAGCATAACTGTGCCCGGGCAGGATGGAAGCAGAATACCCCCATGCTCCACATACAGCCATGGGGCATCAGGACAGGGCTGGGCAGGACAGGATGTCTTTGAGGGGCCAGGGGGATTAATTGAGGGACTGAGGGGGGAAGAGTCGAGGCTGGATCAGGCTGCTGGAGGTTCTCCACTGCAGTTGCAGCTCCTGGCAGAGCCATGTTTAGCATTACATCTGCTGGATGGAAATACATTCACGGTGCTTGAGGAACACCACAGAGCTCACTGTCATCCCCTGTGGAGCCAGTGCCACTAAGGAATAGGCTGCAAAGATGTTGCAATGGATGTCAATGTTGATGCCCTCCTCCACTGCTGTGCTGCTGGCACAGGAAGGATTCTGGCTCCCAAGGTGGATCTTGCCAGGGGGTTTTGCCACTCTTGGGAGCCCCTGGGATGGCACAGGGTTGTGGAAGGGGAGAGGTCAGGCACTGGTGGTGTCCCTGTAAGTGCAACCACCGCTGGGGGCTGGCATCAGGTTGTG